TGGCCAGAAAATGGAAGCTTTGGAGAGTATTCAAAGAATTTTCACTTTTGAGAAACAAAGAAAAACTAAACAAAAGGGAAGCCTTTTTTGAGATAATTGCACTTTTTTAAAAACTTGAAGGATCACCGCAAGGTTTTTGACTTTTCTCAAAAAGGAAATGAAAGTCAAAAAATGAAGAACTGGGTGACCAAAAACGGAAAAAAAGTGATGAAAAAATGGGTGAAAATTGGAAGAAAGTGCATTAGAATATTTGGAGAAAAGTGGATGGACAAAAGTTCAATCATCAAATGATTATAGGGAAAAAACGAACTTGTTCTATTGCTCTTGAGAAACTTAATGGCGGGAAAATGGAATATTGAGTGCTGCTGCTCTAAATTTGTTTCAATTTTTGATTTTTTTTGTAACATTCAAAGATTGGTCTGATTAAATAGGAAGTTATTGAGTATAATCTTACAAAAAATTTTCAGAAACTCAGCAGGTGATTTCGGAGGTATTTTTGTCACTATTTTAATGAAATTCATGCCTCACAGACTTTTGTGTAACTTGATGTTTCTTTCCATTAATTGGTTCCACCTAGTTAAATTGTAAGAATCGAAAAGGAATTTTTGGAGTTTGTCAGGTTTATAAGAAAATTACAAAAATCATCCGAGGTGATTTTTAAAGTTATTTTTTGACGAATTCAACTTGGATCAACAATTTCAGTTTTGTATAGTTTTCAATCAACGAACAAATAACAGGTGATAGCATTTTCCAAAATAGCTTCCTCTCAAACCGGAAACCAAGAATACACCAACACGGAAATTTCCAATAAAGGAGCTCTGCCAAAAAAAACACATCTTGCCATTTATGTCCCCAAAAAAGAGTCTCAATTGTTTTATTGTCCACTTGAGATGCCAACCGCCTCCATTAATAATCCATCAAAAACCTCTCCGGTCCAGTGACGTGGCATAAGTAACTGAATAAAAGGAAAAAAAGCAAAACAAGAATAAACGGAAGGATGCGAAATTAAATGGAGCTCTGGGGTGGTCTCATCTGGTTTCGTCGAATTTCAAATTTTCCCAAAATGGAATCTCTTTTTAATTCAAATTTTTTGTGTGTTAGTTAAACTAGTTTCAGACATCAGTACTTTCTCTTCTGTTTTGTTTACACTTTTCATGAGATTTTCGGGTGCTTAGCCAAAAAAAAAGGCGGAAGAAAACACACGTGTTCATTTCCCGAATGGAGACACTGATGATGGACTTCCTGTACGCGCCCTCAAAAAGTGTGTTGTCTAGCGGATAGATGAATCAGTTCACAAGGATTTTCAGATTATTCACAGGATGTTGCAACATACGCCGATTAGGTGCCGTGTGACAATATTTAGGAGGGATGTTTGTCACTAAAAAGGAAAGAAGCTATTTAGTAAATTGTTGTTCCGTTCGAACCTAGAAAACTGGAACCACAGAATAAATGTGATTTTTTGGAGGGGGATTCCGACTAAAAAATTGTACTGCACCGAAATGTTCTCAATTTTATATATTTTCCTAGTATTATTATGATAAATTAACAGAAAAACCAAAACCTCCGAAAAACGCCACTGAAAAAGAAGTTTGCGAAGTGGGACGAGGATTTGAATTCCCGCGCAATTAGACATCTAGGCACTGCCGGCGGGCCGCCTTTTACAGTTGCAATATTTCCGGGTATTTCCGCTGTTATCGGCACGTTAAAAAAACGTTAAAAAATCCCTGTCCGCTACCTACAGAAGGCTGTCAGTCGCCGCGGCCTAGATTTCTCACTGAGCGGCAACTTTAATCCTTGTTCCTATTCGCAACCTTTTTTTTTGAAAATCTGTTGCATTCCAAAGCGTTTTTCGGGTATTACTGAATTTTTTTGTAATGATATTGGTAAAATTCGTTACAGGAACATTTTGGTGCTATATCAATTTTTGGTGGGATCATAGTTTATTATTTTTAATGAAAACTTTTCTCCACTAGCACGAACATAGAAATTTAGGCCACTAAAAACAAAAAAAGATTTTCTCGCAGACTTTTTTCCTAGAAACCATCATCTGTCAGCAAAACACCGGTGCTCAGAGGTCTTATGTCTCACAGGCGGATATCTTACGGAAACAAGCCATTTGTGAACAAAGCAGTTGACGTTTCTTCCATTTTTTCAAAGGAAAAGTAACTATTTCTTGTGATGAAGTGCTACGGAAATTGTTAGGGAGAAAAAAAATGAGGGTAAGGTATTTGATCTAGGAGGGAAAGCAGTCGAATCTCAACTAGGGGAGAATCTAAGATCAGGGGAGGGGCATACAATGAGAGGGTTTCCTTCTGAAAATAATACAGAGGAACAATTACGTGCAGTCTGCAAAGTGTATATGGATAGACCAATAATTTGAAGAGAAGAAGCAGAGTGCAAGTTACTCCATTCTACTTCTCACTGGGGTGAGAAAATGGATCACGAGTTTTCAAAAGAGAAAAAATAGAAAACAGGATTCAATTGGATGAGTCATTTGACAGTTGTGAAACTTTGAATGGTCCAGAAATTAGTATATTAATTCATTTTGTATTTTCTAGGTGCCTTTATTTCTACTTCCGCCTCTTTAAATCTGCAAAAATCATTTCCTGCATGTTTAATCAAGTCTAGACCTAATAATTTGCATGGTACTTTAAGTATTGAAATTGATAATTAATAATATTGCAAAAAAAACATGGGTAAATTTATACTTTACATCACTGGAAAAATAGTTCCAATTGAAATAAAGAAGATGGATAATTATAAAGAAAATAAAAAATTGATAGTAAAAATATGGAAAGTCATGTGTAGGAAACTAGAAAAAATTAGAAGAAAACTCATTTGAATCTTCTTCAACCCTCTCCACTTAACCACGTCATCAGGTCCGATTTCAAGAATAATGATGGATTCTCATATTGCAAAAAAAAAGGAAAATATTCTGGAAACAGATCTAAACTAATTTTTCATGAAACTGCTTATAATTTCCTTCATAAAGTTACGGGCCGGTCCGATGTTTAAAAATTTTTTAATTGATTCCAAAATATTAAAACAAAGTTATATATTTTTATACCTTCTAAAGAAAATAATCCCACTCTCTATGTGGAAAGTAAAGAAAAGGACCGGGCCGGGCCGGGAAAATTATTGATTTAGTCCGGCCCTGTCCGTTTCAAGTATAGGACAACATAAAAACAAAACCCAGTTAATGTAGCAATAAAAATGAAAAAAAAAGCTATAGGAAAATAAAAGTAATTGTTCGACCAGGTCTTGAAAGAAAAAAAAACTGAGTAAATCAAGTTGATTCCTCAAAAAAATAAATGGACTGCTAGACAAAATGACCTGGATTTAGATTATATTGTTCTGAAATCCAATGGTATCCTATTCAAAAATAAATATTTACGAACTTCCGGTTGAACTGTTGGTTTCGTTTGGTAATTCCGGTTGACAGAAGTACATTGCAGAATATCAGACTCATGTAAAATCGTCTAACAAATTTACAGATGAGCAAAATAGTGCGGATAGTTTCAAATGAAATTGAGGCAAGAAAAATTGTATTGGTGCTTTAAACAAGATCACAGACGTCATTATATCTTCCCTGAAATCTCAATTACATACAATAAAACTTGATTGCACTTGATCGAAACTTTTTAGTGTCCTCATAAAAACCGATGACATTAATGAAAGGAACCGACACATCAAACAGAGGCCGAAACATCCAATAAATCAGTTCCAGGTTGAAAATCCAGGAAAATAAAAAAGTTTGGTCCACTCGGCAATTGATTTGTGTACAAGAAAAGAAGTCAGAGAGCGAGACGGCAGTAGATCAGAGTTGGCGGATCATATATCGGAGAGGTGATATGAGAGAGAAAAAGAGAAAGGTCAGCTGTCATCGGCTTTCGAGAATCCATTGACTTCTAAGATTTTATGACAAATGTGTGCCACACACTATGACAATTGATAGTGGAAAGATGAAAATGAAGCTGTCCATCAGTCCCTCACCTAGACTAGTGTTATGGAATTTCAAAATGTACGAGCAATGATAGCCTTCTTCCAAGACACATACCGTAAAACCTCTAATAGAACGACACCCGGATCGTCCACTTTGAGCCTATATATCTCATTTCTTTTGAAAGATATCAAAAAGTAGTTAACTAGTAAAATGTTTATCAGGATATCAGCAACATTTTACTAGTTAGCCACTTTTTGATATCTTTCACAGAAAATGAGATATATAGGCTCAAAGTGGACGATCCGGGTGTCGTTCTATTAGAGGTTTTACGGTATGTTTCTCCTCATTCTATTGATCGATTTGAAAAGAATATCAGAAAACAGCCATTGCTTGAAAATTCCAAAGTATGCAAACTGCTCAAAGGAGATCAGACTTTTTCTAGCGCTTGATGAAAACCTTCTGAAGTAATTCTTTCATTTTTCAAAATCAGAACTATTTCGACTGTTCACCTGTATTTCGTCTGCTTTGTGAACTAATAAAATATGTCTCAACCAATGAATTTCCTTGTTCTGAGGTACTGTATTCGTCAGTATCGACAGAATCGGTAGACTTTTTTAAACTTCTGCAAAACGTAAGCATTTTTCACAGTCGCCAAAAATTTTATTCAGAACATCTCATCAAGTACTGCCCAAACTGCACTACATAAAATCATTCAAGTTTCCTCGCGACACGAAAAACTTCGAGTGGCCGAGGAAGGGGTCAGGAGATCTTTTTCAGAAGTTTCTTCTAATTTTCGAAAACTCTTCGATCAAAAAAATGCTCAACACCGAGAAAGTGTCTCACTGGGAGATCAAAATATAGTACTCCACAAAAGTATAATTCCACCCTCAGTTTGTACTGAAATACTTATTTAGGTCAATATTCGTGAAAAGGTGTCAACATGAAAAATAAATTTCTCCCTTCACAACCGACGCGGAAAAAATTCTGATATCGGAAAAATTCCGCTATCTTTCCGATATCATATCGTCGCAGCTGTTACAGAGCCAAGACAATTAACATGAAGAGACTCGGAGTTGACCCACCATGTAGAGTCCTCGACCCAAATGAAGAAGTGCTTTTGGCTGTCTCTTGCGATCCTTTTGCTTTCGGACAAGAGGACACCAACAATGACCGTACCACCGTCGAATGGTCCAACACTCTAGACGGCGCCGCCAAGCAGTTCCGTCGTGAATGGCTTCAGAAAGATGGAATGGTCCGTCGTAAGAATCTTCCAATCAACTACAACCCATAACTCTGGGGCATCCTATTTTCCGACACGAATTTTTCTTTTTTTTAATTTTTTCATTGAATTTTGTAAATTTTCAGATAATCCAGCTGAAAAAGTTAGGATGCGGACTCGAGTATGCAATTTTAAAACGTTCTTCCCTAGTTCCACCTGTATTTTTCATATAGTTTTGTTGTAATCGACTGGTTTCTGTAACCTTTACTGCTGAAAAAATCCAAATTATTTTTTTATCGAAATGCGTAAATTGAGAGATTCAAGATCTCGATTCTCATCAAATCCCTCTTTTGAACTAATCGTGTTTTCCATAAAGGCAATCAGAACGACATTTGGTCACTCTGTTCCGCCATCCACGAAAACGGGGGGCGTTTCCCCTCTCTCTGCACATTTTGCAATTCATTTCTCATTGCTTTCGATATAAATATTCTGGAGAGAGAGAGTGAGAGAGACGCAGTGAAATATACAAGTGCTCAGAATACTGCTTAACGGGAGCATGCACGCCTTCAGAAGACGTGAGAGTGTGTCTTATTCCGGCTGCGTCTCTTACACGTGGTTTTCTTATTTCTAAATATTGTTATTGTTTATCTTTGAATTTCGTTATCAGCTTGGAAAAACAAATATTCACTGGATCTAGAAGATCTTTTGGATTAGAGTCTCAAAATTGATGTTAAAAATTGAAAATTTTGTTTTATGTTCTATTCTCCAAAATGTTCCACAAATGTTCTGGGTCCATTTTTCAAAATTTTGATGAAAACAAGTAGTTCTCACTTTTCTTTTCCATTGTATTTTTCCTGATGACTCCTCTCCAATTATCTCGAATCATACCTGTTATTTTGATTACTCATTCCCACGGGAGTCCTTTTTCCAACACGTCATTTCAGATGCCTGGTCATTCTTCTGCTCTTCTTTTTTTTCAGAAGCCACCCAAGACTGACCATGAATACTTGTTCGTCTTTTTGTTCTTTACTTATTTTTCCTCGTTTTTCCGAATTTCTGAAAATCCCTCTCGATTTTCCGTAATCTCTGACACTTATGAGCCGTTTTGTGACGTGAATGAGCAAGCAAAACGGAAAATGGAGAAGAGAATGAGGCTCGATGAATACTAGTAGTTATCCAGTCATTCAACAAGATGGGCGTTTTCGAAAAATGTGAGATTTGAAGATGAGTTGTAGAGTTCGGACCTACATCATTTTGTAGGTTTTCGGCTCGAGGTGTTAGAGAAATTTTGTACTTCAGAGCTAGATCCAATTTTTTTTGGATCATTCGAAGAAACAGTAATTGTAGTCATTCTTGAAAATTTTCAAAAAATTTTACTTCAAAAAGGTTTTTTTTAATTTCCTGAACTACAGGAAGCAATTTCGATTAACTGGAAAAATGTCTAGAAGAAATCGACTAGCTACTACGGCTGTTCAAATAATCCTATTTTTCATAAGTTCTTCTCGTCTTAAATTCTAAAATCTGAATTCCTACTGTTCTACAGTACTCTTTCTATGTTTCTTCTGGTTTTGAATATTAAAAAACTACCAATTTTCTTTTCATTTTTCATATGGGAAGAGGAAACAAGTTGTTAAGCAAAGAAAACTGAGTTTTCTTTGCTTAACAACTTGTTTTTGACACTTTTTTCTTCTTCAGTCTTGCTCCTCCTCCTCCTTCTCCCGAAAAAGTAAAATAGAGGGTGGGAAGATGAAGAAGAAGAAGAAGACGGGAAACCTTCAGTCGTTCCTTCTTTCTTCAAGCTTCATTCCGACTTATTTTCAACCACTTGTTCTTCATGTTTTTGCCCAGATTTTTCGTTTTCTTTTTCTTTCTCAATGATTACAGGAAGAATAGTGGGAACTCATAGAAAACAAGAATAAGAAAATCGCCTATGCACAAAACGGAAAAACATTCATAAAACTTTTACGAGCAACGCAAACGAAATCGATCCTAGTCAGTCCCAAAAATTTTTTTGTGGGACAGACTTCTTTTTTTTCTGGAATATTCAGTTAGACCTAAAATTTTCGAATTGTGATGCTTATTTACAATACAGTTAAAGATAAATTTTAAAAAACACATCTAACTAACCCATAGCTTTTGGGTCCACTTGGAGATTCTCCCAGCTCCGCAGAATGGCCAGTCGGAAGACTTCAAAGACATCAAATACCACCAGAACCATTAAAAACAAAACAATTTCAAATCAATCAAATTAGGTCAGAGTAGGTCATACAATATCAAGAAAACGTGAATGTCATCCGGGAGCACTCTTTTGAGCAAACAAGAAGAAAGACGAGAACCCATTATGCACATTCGATTCTCTTCTTCCCCCCGTTTTCCGGCTGTCTTTCCCCTCGAATCCATGCTTCTACACACTTCCACTTCCTATTCACACGAATCCCTTTTTCTCATAACTTATTATTTTTGATTCGCTTGAGATTTTCAAAGTTAAGAACCTTTTGAACCTGTCGGACCCTTCTGGTTTTGCAGACGGAACCTTATGTTGGAGCCGGTGGAATCTGAAAATCTTGGTTCACTATGAACCGCTTTGATAAAATTCTCAAAGTCTCTTCAAAGAATCTTGATACACTTGAAGATTAACTGCTACACTGTAAAACCTGTAATAGAAGATCCCCTAACTTTGTTTATAAATTTGAGCCAATTTATCTCGGTTCGTGTGAAAGATATAAAGCTGTTAACTGATTAATTATTTATGGTAAAAAAAACTTCTCAGTATTGGGGCCCTTTTATTACAGGTTTCACGGTACTTGTTCTCATGACCACATGCTAATGACGTTCCAGTATTACTAGATTTGATAACTCATTTATACAGGTACCGTAAAACCTGTATTAGTTCCGAGGTTGCTCTGAAGGACTCTTCTATTAAAGGGTCCCTTTAATTGGAGGGGGTCCTTCTATTTTTCCTAGAATTTTTTCCAAGATAAAAAAATCGGTGAATTTTCGTTCAAAATTCATGAGTTGATTAATTCCCCCGAAATTGAGCAAGTTTTTGAGTAGAAAAAGCTGTGTTTCAACTAATTTCTATGAAATTGCGGAGTTTCTGGAATATTTTCCACTGAAAACTTTCGAAATTTTTAATCTCAAACAACAGCTTTGAAAGAGGACCTGTCTATTTTTCCAAGTCCCGCTAGTAGGGCCCTTCTATTAGAGGGGCTCTTCAAATAAATGGGCCCTTCTAATACAGGTTTTAGGGAATTCGTGTGTCATGCACGAGTATTCGGTTACACGAAACTGCTCATTTGAAATTCTGCAGAAGTTTCCGAACGACGTCATCACTACTTTTCTATTAAAAAAGCAAGTTTCCCATCTTCCATTTTCCAAAAAAAAAACTACCATATTTTTTTCCTCATTCGAAAAAAGTCTGGAAAAAGGGAAGCTGTTCAAAAATGCGTCCTCTTCTTCTCGTTTTTTTTTTGCCGAAAAAACTTTTTTCTATCATCTGAATCTCCCTTCTGTCCCAACTATTTTCAGTTTCTCTTTGAATATATAATCCAGTAGTGATGACGAATGGGATGGGGAGAAGAGAGTAGAAAAAGAAGTGCCACCCAAAAAAGGAAAACTTTTTTCGGTCCATCTCACTCATTTTTTGAAAGTCCTATAGGAATCATCTTTAGAAAGGCGCGAAATTCAAATATCCGCCATTCGCCTCTTCTCATTTTTTCCAACATCTTCTATTCAATTTCAACCTAGTACCTATCTTTCTCTCCTGCAGTTTTGAGTACATTGCATGTCCAAAGGTACTTGTCGCTTTTTGACCCATTTCCGCTCATTTTCCGGCTTCCTGCGCACGAAAATCTCTGAGCTCTGAGGCTTTTGCTCTTTTTTTCTCTAACTCAATCCTTCCCCTAATCCACTGTCCTTGTTGATATTCAATCTTATCTGAAATTAATGATTTCTCAGTACATATACTTTTCCGGAAATACGCATACATTTCCTTGCATTAGTGTAATCTGGATCTTTCTCATTAAGAGTTTTTTTCTCACTACATTTTCTCATTTCCGATTCCAACCGCGCATCCTTTTATGGACTTTTTTATGCGCTCTCAGATTAGAAGCAAAAAACACAGGAATATTCTAGAAGGTCTTGAGAGAATACTTGCAATTGTTAAAGGTAGAAGATATTCCGTTAGTCATTGCCAAAGTTCTTCTGTACTTTTGGATTGATCTTAGTCCCGCGAGGTTCAGAAAGATTCGAATGATTAAAACCAGGTATATAAAACTTTTCTCGTTATAAATCATTCCGCGGACAACCAAGTTTTAATTAACTTTCCAGTCGCCGCTCGAACTTGTGGAGCACATGACTTTTTTGTTAGACCACATAAGATTGTTTTGATTTTAATATTCCAATGTACATAGAGCTCTCCTAGTTCTTGGGAAATTTGAATTCAAGGTTTTCTACCTTGTTGTCATTTTTAATATTCATGATGAACTTAATTGCCAGTTGAGACATTGCTTTCTCTTTTACAGACAAGCAGTACAAGCCTCATACCGTAAAAACCTGTAATAGAAGGAGTGCGACATTGCCAAATTAGATCTCAATCATCTCAATTTCTATGAGAGATATCAAAAATGTATCAACTAATAAAATTGTGCTGATATTATGACAAACATCATATCAGTTGACCAATTTTTGTTATCTCTTATGAAAATTGAAATAATTGAGATCAAAATGCAAGGCCCTATAATAGAGTGTTTACGGTATCTCGATGAGTGGAGAAAATATTAGAAAATTTTCAAATTATAAGGTTTGTTAAGCTATTATTGTTTGGAAAAAGTAGAGTTAACAATAAGACACAGACAGTTTATCAAAAAACCTCTCTGCGTCTCCACAGAATATGCGCTATTTAGGTTTGCCGCTTCGAGATACCTTCCGTATACAGAATGCAAAAAATACTCCCTTACTCTAATTTTCCAGACAACAATAATATCACTATATCAGTGAAACATCTTTTATATGTACTTTGCGATTGGTTGACATCCCATGTTACTCTCTTTAAAGCTACATCTGCAACCATGTTCTGAAAAATCCGAGAATGCACACATTTTTAGGAGTCGTTGCCTGAGAAACGGGATGAAAAGCCTAATCAGGTGTCTTGTTGTCATATTCTCATATTATTTTCGTTCATTCGTTTTTCATATTTTTGATCAATGTGTTCTGTTTTTCTCGGTTCTCTTGTCGAAATTTGCCGCTACAAAACCAGCCAGCTGATTGTACGCATACAGGGTGGCCGATAAGTATAGGACGTTTTGAAAGTGCTCCCATTTTTTCAATTTGAGGATTTTTCGAGAACAACCTTTATTAAACAACAAAAAATAAGCAGAAAATTTGATTTTACAAGAGAAATTCGAAGTTGGATCCACGAGCTTTGACACAGGCTCTCAAACGTTTCTTCACCGAATTGACAGTGCGCCGCAGGTATCCGTCGTCGATCGAAGCCCATGCTACCTCGAGAGCGGCCTTCAAGTCATCGACAGTAGCAAAAACTTTTCCCGCGATCTTCCCTTCCAACATGCCCCAAACGCTGAAATCCATCGGATTGAGATCCGGCTGGAAGCAGGCCACAAGTTCTTGTCCAGGAATCCAGGAAAATGCGCCTCCAAGACGGCCAATGTCGATCTCGAGCCATGGGACGGTGCCCAGTCTTGTTGAAGGATAAATGGACCACCAGCAAAGTGCTGAGTGACCCAGGGTAACAAATTATCCATCAACACAATCTTTTGGTACACCTCCGAGTTGATTTTCACATTTCTTTCAATGAAAACCAACGGAGTTTTACCGGTTGCCGTGATACCGGCCCAAACCATGACACTTTTCGGGAAAAGGCGGTTATGGGCAAGACGACGTTTCGGAGACATGCTGTCATCCTTTGACAATAACTGTCTCTGGTTTTGACGGTTGGGAAGAGGTTCAATAGTGAAGATCTTCTCGTCTGTCCAGATAACGTCAGAGACGCGGCGCACTTGAAAGTGCTGGAGTAATTTTCGGCATTTTTCGAGTCGCATCGCTTTCGATTTGTCCGAGAGGTACTGTCCACGACGTAGTTTGTAACTTTTGAGCTTCAAGTCGTTCTTGACAATCGATTGGACAGTGGATCGGGCAATTCCAAGCTGTGACGCCATCCTATTGAGACTCAATCCATCATTTCGAATGATCCGTTTCTTGATGATTGCACGAGTATTCCGGGTGTTGACAGAACGTGGACGTCCGCTTTTTTTTACTTCAGAAGCATCTCCTCGCTTTTTGATAGCAGCGACAACGTTTCGAACCGTCGAAGACGAAATTTGAAGGCGTCGAGCGATCTCAGCACTTCCGAGGCCTCTCTTGAACAAGAGTTCAATGGAAGGACGATGAGGAGAACTTTTCATAGCTCGGCGATATGGAGAAGTGAGAACAAATGACTGAGAAGCTTACTTATATAGTCTCTGGACTTTCGAAAAGTTTCGAAATTTTTCGAAAATATCCCTTGGCACCGTGCCAGGGAACGCTGAAAGCGAGCGTCCTATACTTATCGGCCACCCTGTATACTAGGAACACACGAAAAGCAGCAGTTTTTCAACAAGTGATTGATAAACTTCCACCATCAGGTCTCGTAATGAAAATAAGTTCAGTCACTTCTTTCCAAAGAAATCTCCGAATCCTGCGCCGCTTTTGTCCTTTTCAGTTCCGAATAGAATCGAGTCGCTCCCCCCCCCCCCTCAAATCAGCACATCGACTTCTAAATCAAATTTTATTCCGAAGGTCTTCTTAAGAGAAGAACTTTTGAAGGCCTGCGTCTCATTACTCTCTAGTTCTTTTCCTTCTTCTCATCACCAAATCTGCCGCCCATGTGACACTGACTTGAGAGCCAATAGGAGGCCTTCACTACATCCGGGAATCCTTTTGAGGACTTCTTCTCAGAGACCTCTTTTACACTTTTCACAATGAGAGGATAATAGGGATGAGAACGAGGGCGGCTTAGAAGTCCTAGCAGTGTCTTGAAATCGTAGAGAATTCAAAACTCCCAAGCATCTTGAGAATCGAAAAAAAAAGTATTGTAGGATCAGCAAGGCCACTTGCACCCATGGCTCGAACTACACAGGATACTCTTGAGATTTAAAAAATTTTCTTTTGACTTTTTATTAGGTACAAGTGACGATTGCATGTAGAGAAAAAGGAATTGGAGAATCCATCAAAGATTCTCAAATTTCCTTTTTCCTTCTTTCTTAGTTACATTTTCTGCTGCTGAAAACACACACTCATTTTAAAAAAACCATGAATCATCTAAATTATACTCATAGTCAGTCTATTTCTACTGTATCCATTGTTTTTTATATGCTCTTATTCTTAATCCTAAAAGAGATTTCAACTCTAATCACATATTTTTGCAGGTGATTAACAAGATTCCGTTCACATGGAGGAACGATTATCCACGACGTCGTCATATCCATCTCATCCAGGCAAGTTTTTTTTTGAAAATCTCAATACGAAAGGATATCTAAACTACTCCTTACTGACTTTTTCTCTTAAAAGTTCTATTTTGCACACAGACAATGTGCATGATTAGCAAACTGCATTTGACGTCAGTGAAAGGATAAGAAAAAAATCGCAAATTCTCCAAAACTTAGACGGTCCGTAGGCAGTTTTCGAACATTTACGAAGTTTAGAAAAAATTTACCGTATTCCTTTGATAGACGCCCACTCAAACGGCCAGATTTGAGCTCAATTATCTCGATTTCTGTGAAAGATACCAAAAATTTGTCAACTGATGAATTAATCAACATATCAAAGCCATTTTTTTTCAGTTGACAAACTTTTGATACCTCTAACAGGAATCGAGATAACCGAGCTCAAAGCTGACGATTTGGGTGGGTTCTAATAAAGCAAGTTTGGGTTTTTTAAGTTTCCAGAAATTCTTCCTCTTGAAATTCGGGAAAAATCGAGAAATAGGTTTCAAAATGGTTTTTCGCCTGTCTTCTCAATTTTTTTGCTATATTCTTTAAGTTAGTCATAATATTCCAGAACATTTCCTTGGAAAACGAAAACAACGAAAAATTGTTATAAATCGGCGGAAATCTAGAAAAGTTCCGAAATATTAGAGAGTGTGAAACAATCCGAGATTACAAACTTTACATTCACAAAATTTTTCGAAATTTTCTAGTTTTTCAGCTATAGTTTTGCATGTACTTTTCAAAATGTTTCAAAGTGATCGGAAACTTTACAGCCGAGACAAAAAAAATACAAATTTTCCTTGTGGCTGATGGATTACGGTAGCTAACCATTAGTGCGTATATGGTTCTGTTTGTTGAGCCTTAAAACCCTAATTTGTATTTTTATCAATATCACAAGCTGCTAATATTAATTTTTAATGTACCGATCAGTAATAAACTAATCCAGTATTTGAAAAACTTTTTCTATGGTGAGTCTATTTCTGTTCAAACTTTCAAACTGGATATGTTTTGAAGGTGTTATGTTGTTACACAAAAAATATTCTTGAGCAGCTGAAAGAATTAGATTTTTTCTGATTTTTTAAATAAGTCTATTTTGATTTTGGGCTGAAGGAGACCAAAAAATCCAAGTGAGACCAAAAAATCCAAGTTGAATTTTAATGACATTGGAACGAAAGTTCTCTGAAATAACTTTTTGTAACATTTCAATGTTTTCAATATTCTTAAGCTAAAATGAGCATTAGAAAATGAGCATTGAATTATCTTTGCCAGAAAGAATCAACAAATTTTATTGATTTTCTTTATTGTTGCCAACCTGAACACACTTTGAAATGGACCAAAGCTAGTCGTTCAGTTGGAAATTCTCAGCTTTTCTAGCACTGTTTTTACCATTAGCGTAGTCGCATATATTTTATTTGAAAATCATAAACTTTATGAATAAATACTCATAGAAATCCAAAACTATCTGAAATTTTAAGGAATTTAAGCTGAAACCCTGAACTTTACTTTTCCATTTCTTTTTGTTTCGTCAATATGCTTTTTCTCGCTTCCTAACTTCCTTTTCGCTCTCCTTTCTATTATAATTTATGGTCCCATGGGTACCATCTTCCACGTTGGAAGGCATTCCTCGTCTTCCACAAACATGCTCAACATCTTCTTTCATTTTACTTGTCTTCTTCTTCGTTTTCTTTCTTCACTTTCATTCACAAATCGAAAAGACGTCCTTCTTGTCCCTTCCTTCTTTTTCCTTTTCTTCTTCTGCAGAAGAGGAAGACTTCTAAACACAAAAAATCGATAGAGGAAAGGCATGGCCCCGTTTTGCACAAAATCGACGGAAAAGAGCAGTGGAGACGAAGAGACAGAGTTCTGGACCGCTTCTCTTCGGGAGAGCTCCAGAGACACAACACCACCAGTGAGACCCCCGCAAAACCAGCCCCATCGGCGTACTAGTACATCCCTTCCGGTCTTTTTTTGGTTGACCCTTAGAATAATAACTCTTTATTTGAAGAAACGGAGTGGTCAATTTGTAGTAGTTATGACGAAAATGGAAATTTTTGTTTTTGGTATTCTTTTTTTACAAGGTCTTGTGTATAAATTTCTGGAGATAGTTCCAAAAATTGGGAATGTGGTTTTGAAACAAAAAAGTTTATTTTTCAACTTTAAAAAAATTTTAAAAGTTTTGAAAGTTTTGAAAACAACCAATCGTTTAAATGGTTTACCGAGGTGTGAACTCAGCTATCTCAACTCTCTATAACTTTTGATTCCAAAAAAAAAGCTATGACTTCCATTTTCCATTTTCCTTGGTACTTTTTTCCCAAATTTTTTCTAAAAACAAAGCTCGAGTGCCCCGCAATCCCATGACACAAGTCTCAAGCAAAGTCTAAACAAAACGACGCCACTTTAAATGATTACTTTTCTTAATGGACCCTTCTGATGTGATGTCTTCCTTTCAAGAGTCGGAGGATCTAATCAGAAAACTCTTTCCTTCAATTTCCGTTCTTCTCCAAATAATCTTTTCCGTCTTCTTCTTCTTCAAGCCCTCTTTCCCATTCGCCCCAATATAACCTCATCAGTAAAATTGTGTTCTCTAAATCATCTCCATTCTATTCGTTCGCCGCACTATCTTTCTCCATTTGCTTCGAATTCGTTGTTGCATCTATGTGTTGTTGCTCTAAATTGGACACAAAAAAAACGACGTCGTCGAAACAGACTGAAGAGAGTCGGGAAAAAAACGGGGCGGCAACCGAATGAGAAAAAAGTGCATTGTGCTCAATGTGCAAGTGACACCAAAAAATGGATGAATAGGGTCCATTTATTTATACATTTTTCGGTCGTCGATGCCTTTTAAAGTAGACAGTTGGGTTCTGTGTCTAGTTTCAGACAGACCATCTTAACCCAATAACGAGTTTCTCGATCATTCTTTGAAGTCCGTCTGGTTCCTTATTTATCTTTAAATCCCTATTTCAATTCACTCAAACTTGAATTATTTACAGGTAGAAGCGTGGAAGAGGATCACAACTCCTTGCTTGCTTCATCCTCAATATCCTCATTGATTCGAGGAACACGGGGACACCTCAACAATTTTATAGAATCCGTTGGAAACGTAAGTTTTCTCTTGTTTCAGCTGCACACGATGACAATGATTCAGAAGTCAGAAGAGTAATGTTTCTAAGCAACTTGATTTCGTTTTTTGCTGATAAAGAAGTGATGACAACTAATTATGAATCCTTCTCTCCAATTCCATAACTTTGATCGCTAGTTTTCAACCCAAAATGTATTTGGTATCAGTGAGAAATTATAGTTTTCTTTTCTAGTCAAATGCAAAAGCCATGCAAATACAAAATCTTAAAACTTGATGTTTGATTCTTTGAATCCGATTAAGAGCTACCGAAGCAGTCCGCCTAGTTCACTGGACTGATTTTCTTTTATTTCCATCAAAAATGTTTAGTTTCGACAGATTTATAAGATCGTCTAGAAAGATCGTAAGAATGAAATCCTCACATTTTAATTTGAGCCAATTTTTCTTTGTTCCTGTCAAAGATATCAAAAAGTTGTCAACTGATAAATTGTTCATCATAATATCAAAAGTGTTTTGTTAGTTGACCCCTTTTTGATGTATAGCATAGGAGTCCAGAAAATGAGCTCAAACTTGACAGTGTGGAAGGGTTTCTATTAAAAGTCTTACAGTTGTAAGTTCTCCGAATATACATCTAGTACAGGGATTATTACGAGCCCGTTACGATTTTACGTTACTTTACGGTATATTCTAGGATTCTGTAATTGTTGATCCGTTTTCGTTTTGAATTTCTTTAAAAGATTAAAAAAAACTTAAAAAATAAAATAAAATTCTGCATTTTCAGTGGCTGGTCCCATCATCATCTGGCCGTGACGACGACGTTGTCTCTCTGGACAGTTGTCAATCAGCTTATAGCCCCGTCCGTCATCAATATAACAGTGGTATTGGAGGAGGAGGTCATCTGATGGAACCCTCCTCCATTCATGTTCCCGATAATTATTATTCGGTTCGTTTTCAGTTAATTTAATTTTCTAATTTTAGTCAACTACTCATTTTCTAATTTTCAAAAATTAAATCTAACTGTTTTTCAGGTGACAATAGGGGAGGCGCAGATGGTCGTTCTAAAACGGTACCAAAATCTCAGGTTGATCGGGTCTGGTGCGCAGGGAATCGTCTGGTGAGTGTTTGACAAAACTGTTTTGTTCTGAAAACTGTATTTCAGCTCGGCATTCGATACAGTACGAAATGAACAAGTAGCGATTAAGAAACTTTCAAGGCCATTTCAAAATGTAACACATGCAAAAAGAGCTTATCGAGAGCTGAAGTTGATGAGTCTTGTTAATCATAAAAATGTGAGTTTTTTGTTTTCAATTCTCATGGCAAAAAGTTTTGCAATATTCGAAATTTGTGTCGAAATTAATGCCATAAACGAAACCAATATTTTTGCAGATAATAGGAATCCTGAATTGTTTTACTCCACAAAAAAAACTCGACGAGTTCAACGATCTCTACATCGTAATGGAATTAATGGATGCAAATTTGTGTCAAGTGATTCAAATGGATTTGGATCACGAGAGATTATCATATCTTCTTTATCAAATGTTATGTGGTATCAGGCATCTTCATAGTGCTGGAATTATACATAGGGTTCGTTTTTTCTTTTTGCAAACCGAGAGAAATTTGAAAAACAATGAATTTGTGTTCTAGGATTTGAAACCATCCAACATTGTCGTTCGGAGTGATTGTACCTTGAAGATTTTGGACTTCGGATTAGCTCGAACAGCAATCGAAGCATTCATGATGACCCCATACGTTGTTACACGGTACTATCGGGCACCGGAAGTTATTCTTGGAATGGGATATAAAGAAAATGGTAAGGATTCAAAAATTTTATTATCCAAAAACATGCCTAATTGTTTTCAGTGGACGTTTGGTCAATTGGATGTATATTCGGAGAATTGATTCGTGGACGAGTACTGTTTCCGGGTGGAGATCATATCGATCAATGGACGAGGATAATAGGTAAGCCAAGTTGTTTATCTGAATAGAAAACCTCAAATTTCATGATTTCAGAACAATTGGGTACACCAGACCGTTCGTTTTTGGAGAGGTTACAGCCAACAGTCCGAAATTATGTAGAGAACCGACCGAGGTAAATTTTTAAACTCTGATAGTTTTAAAAACCCAAAAAGCTTCATTTATCGTAAATTTATTTTTTCTCTAATGGGGTTATGCACGTAATAAATTTGCAATAAAAATGGCAAAGAAATACACAAAAATACTATGCAGATACGCAAATAAATTTATTTTTTGCATTCAAAAAACGAATTAAATTGCATTATCAGCCATGAAAAAATTTTCTCTCGAAGATTTTTCAAGAGATTGTTCTCGAGAAAAAAAATTTTGAGAGGAAATTTCCACGGCTGATAATGCAATAAAATTCGATTTTTGAATGCAAATAAATTAATTTATTTGCGTACTCTGCATAGTATTTTTGTGTATTTATTTGCCATTTTTATTGCAAATTTATTACGTGCATAACCCCATAATATTTTAATTGTAATAAAAAACCGATTTCAGATATCAACCAACACCATTCGAAGTTCTGTTCAGTGATAACATGTTCCCGATGACCGCTGATAGTTCAAGGCTAACAGGTATCGATTTTATCAAGTTCACCATAAAACTAGTTTATTTTCCAGGTGCCCAAGCCCGTGACCTACTTTCCCGAATGTTGGTTATCGACCCAGAAAGACGGATTTCTGTGGATGATGCTTTAAGACATCCTTATGTGAATGTATGGTTTGATGAAATTGAGGTAAGTTAGCGACTATTTTGCTCATCAACAATCCCTGCATCTTAAAGGTCTACGCACCTCCACCACTACCCTATGATCACAATATGGATGTAGAACAAAACGTGGATTCGTGGAGAGAGCACATCTTCAGAGAGCTGACTGATTACGCACGGACCCATGACATCTATTCATGATTTTTTGTTTTGTACTACGGTCACATTTCATTCTCGATAGAATATTTCCTCTCTCGCGTCTTTTCATCTCGATTTCACCCCCACCCATGTGCTCAGAATTGTTTACAAATGATGAATAAAAAGGTTAAAGTTTATGTGATTTAATGGACCATTATAGTCTGAGTAGTAAAAACGAGGGTCATCTATGTACAGAGTTATTTTGGGAAATGTACAGCAAAAACATTTTTATTGGGGTCAATTGATACTGGGTGATACCCCTTGTGATCCTCCTAGGGTCTCGTATGCGGTTTGACCGAAAAGACGAACAGCAGCACAGAGCCCGGCAGCATCAACCTCAATTATTAAAATTCCGAAATTTTTTTTCAAAAAGTATAACTTACAGCACACAAATTTTTCTCGGTAGCCATACTGAGGCATTCACAGAACATATTGTCGCATGGATCTTTTCCAACTTGAGAGTTGTAACAACTGTCATGAGCTACACAGCACACATTCATAGGATCTATAATATTTTCGTTACATTGCATGATTGCCATATAGCACTATTAAACCTCACCTTTAAGATTTTTGCATTGACTGCTGTTAAATAGTTGTGGAATGAATTCTTGGAAGCGGTTCGCCCCACAACTGAAGTTTGTAGCCGGAATAGTGTCATTGAGAGTTGCCAGAGTTACACCAGTGTCTCCGATACTGATTGTCTGTTGGCAGAATACATGCAAATTTAAAGAAGACGTAGAGAAGAACAGAGAAATCCAGAAAATATAAGAAACCGAGTTCATTCTTGAAAATAGGAACAACGAATTTCAGTTCAAAATTTCGTTCTTTGTATTTTTTGTCGTTATTTTATATATCGGAAGTTGGTCTGTATTGATTCTTGATGACCACTTTTTGGGCAATTCCTCCCCCCAAAACACAAAGAAATACGTAATCCGACAGATTTAGTACCTACCACTTTCCCCCAGCCCATGTGCCTAAATCCCACATTGTAACAATTGTGTGAACTGTTTTTGAATGACCAATAATCACGGTTTCATATGATTTCCGAAATAAAATGGTTTCTGATTTGAAAAAAGTTTTTGATCTCGACCTGTTACAAGTACAAGCTCTTCGAAAGTAGAATAATTTTTGATCAAGTTGCTCACAAATACTCTATGTTGAAGGTATAGTAGACAATGTGTTCGAAAAAATGATTCAAATGGTCGGAAGATTGGAATCTCCGAAAAAGGATATTTCGTTCCAGAACAGGTTCCACTTTTCTATAAAAAGTTATTTTTGTTGGAAAATTGGTACTATTTTGTATTTTGAATCGAATGGCGTTCACAGAATTTGTATTTCATTCATATTTTTTCAGAAAAATCGAGGGGTTATATGTATAATTATTGGATGCACTGTACCAAAATTTACAACCCGAATAACTTTACAATCAACTGTATAATTCCAATTTATTGATAACAACCGATATTCCAAGACCAAAATTGGTTTCTTGAAAAATGAAAAGTGAATGGTTCCATGTGAAAACCAGAGAAATATTCTGCATGAGAATGTACACATTTATATTCTTTTCTTTGCGGAAGTTCGCAAGTATCAGCATTCGGACATCCATGTTTTGCTCTTCTGTGATCAAATGCATTATCATAAAATGCGTCGTAATAACATTTGAAAACGATGGGAAGATAAAAATCTTCAGATGGAAGTTTTGGCGCAATCTCAGAAATCGTTGGAATCTTTCGGAAACGATTCAGATCATCTTCCATTGCCTTCACGTCATGAGCTCGAATCGTCTCATTCAAAGGTCCAAACTCCATTTTCCATAGTTTCGTTATGTTATTGTTTCCGTGTTTTTGCAAGGGACGTTGTACATGAACAATCGTTGGATTATCAATTGACCTTCTGTAATTTTACTTTTTATGATTTCTGAAATCGTTTTCTTCCTCACCTGGTGGCCTCATTTTCATTATTACTGTAATGAATCCACGTGGAATTGTATCTATCCGGTTTCACTACAACTTTCCCTCGTTTTACAGTCGGAGAAGATCGAAGGCTCTTAATTAGATCAATGAAGCTGAATTCGTCAAGAGTTTCCGCTGAAAACAAATGATAAAATGATGACTGAAATTCGAAACAAAACACCTTTAACAAATTCATGTTCTCGTCTTCCATAGAACACCGACGTGGCACGTGGTTGAAGAGCCCACTCTGCATTGAACTCTTCCAAATACGTTGGGTAGTTTTTAGGAAAGAGAATATCATCCATATCAAAGAATGCAATGTATTCCGCTGCTTCCTTGTACTGAAGGAGGCAATCTGTTTGGGCTCCTGCCTGGTTCCTCCATTCAATATTTTCATTTGGCTCGAAATATGGAGTTTGGGTGTGCTGGAACTTCATTCGAATCCAATAATCTAGAGTAATATATCCTTGTCTCTCGTATTCTTTCATCAGCTCAAAAAATGATTCGATGATAGAAGTGAGATAGATGTGAAGGTGCCCACCAAATCTGAAACCTCAAGAAATATGTTGACTTCGTTAATTGATTTACCGATTCGCCACATGAACATGCATCATAAATATCTGCCACTGCTCGGCAACAAACTGTGGTGAAATACAGATGATGACAGGTTTTGGAGCAGTATATCTAGCCATTTTGAATGGAATCTGGAACTTTTTTTATTTGCTGAATTAACTTTTTTCCAATTAATTACCTCCACTTTGATTCCATTCGATTCCATTTCTAGTTTTGTAACATTTTCTACAGTGTTAGCTCTTGCCATAGCAGGAGCATACCGGCAAGTTGGAACGCCTTCTCTGAAAGTTTAACTTTGCTGAATATATGGAAAGACACCTTACGTTTGAGAAGTAGCTAAACTGGCTTCTGTATGAGTTGAGTTAGATCCAATAATATTATAGGTGGCATTATTAACATTAAAATTGATCGTGTCTACAACCATTGCCATAGCGACTGCATTATCACCAAGTCTATAAAACAATGCTTCCAGAAAAATCTTTAAAGGTAAATACTTACGATTTAGAAGTCGGATAATAATAGGCAGAAGTTATCCAAACATGAGAGACTGGCAATTTTCTAGTGAGGCGTCTAGTTTGATCCTCTATTAAACCGGATTTCAATTCTGATAATGGTTCCGGGTTCAGGCTTTCTTCACTCTTAAAATTAGTTTCGGCGTCTGCCATTTCGAAATTTAAAGGTCTATTTAATGCAACATAGGAGTTATAAAGCAGAACAATTAATAGAAGGATGGTGGTTATCAGAAAGCATTTCCGCCGTTTCATAATGTAACGACTCCCTGGAGACAGCAATGCTTCTGGGTTGACCCTTTGAGGTTCGTTGAATACGTCCTCGACTATATGATCAAGTTTTTGGTGTCCGATGAGAAGCTTCATGTGGACAAAATGATTCAGAATCGAAGAAAATGAAGGCAGGACAAGAATTCGAGATTCAAAAAAAAGTTATAAAAAATAGAGATTGAAATCTCTACCTATTTTTGAAATCCGTTCAAATAGTATAGCCAGTTTCAGTCGGAAAAGATTTCATCAAGAAGTCTCGGAACAAATATATTCGTTAGAAAAAATTATGACCAGACATCTAAAAATTGAAAAAATATTTCAAATTAAAGTGATTGTCAGAGCAATATCATACTTCCAGAAACTTTTTGTGGTGCATGATCTCATTTATTCAACAACATGGTCAAATCAAAAACCGAATTCTAAATACGCTACAACTGGTAGATATAAGTTTGGAATTTCATTTTTTAACTGCTTTAAGTAATCGACTACTGGGCCTCCGGCTTGTAACTTCTGGTCAGAAGTTGAGGAAGTTTCGGCTTGTGGACGAGTATTAGCCAGGTTCTGGTCGGAACTTGACCAAAAACATCTATTTAGCAGGCCATGGTCAGATTATGGTTTTAACTTGAATTGAGAACGACTACCATGTCAGGATCTTGTCAATTTTTTGTTTAGTCTCCTTTAGTAACGGTCTTATCCGGTCAACCTCTGATCAACTTCCGCCGAGAAATTGCCGACGACGCCCCAAGTAGAGTGATCAGAGGTTATTGTACTTTTGGTTTGAAGGGCTCCTCCATATCACTAAAGATTTATTCAAAGTGATACGAGACCAGAATTCTGAGTGACTACATTTTAATCGCAATTAATCAGATTCTGAAACCGGTTGTCTTTGAAAAAAAACTGTTAAAATATTCAAAGATCGTCTTATGCTCATCATTAGGTATTTGATAAAGAGAGCATACCGTGAAACCTGTATTAGAAGGGCCGGCCCTTCTATTTTTCGTGGGGTCCCTAGGAGGGCACTTCAATTAGAGAGGCCCTTCAATTAGGGGGGCACTTATATTTTTCGTGAGGTGTCTGAGCAGGGAATTTCTATTAGAAGAACAACGTTTTTCGGGGAAATTTTTGTTTTTTCTACTCAAAATCCTTAAAATTTCTTCTATAATAAAACGAAACAAAAACACCTATATCTTAATGAAAACAAAAGCAACAACAGAAAATTAATTTCTTCAGTTGGTTTTTTTCAATTCGACATCATAAAACTTCCATCTTTGTGAGCACTTCTATTTTTCGTGAGGCCTTTAGGGGGGCACTTCAATGAGAGGGGCCCTTAAATTTTAGGGGCCCTTCTAATACAGGTTTTACGGCATCCATCGTCATAATGGGTGCGATTTGTTTCACAAAATAAGTTGAATTATAGTTCCATCAATAGCCAATTGAAGAGATGAACTCATAAACAAAGTTTTTAAAGATTCCGCGGTACTGCATTTTGATCTACGAGTTGCTAGGAAGTAACTTTTTTTTGGAAGTCGGAAATCGGAAAGAAACCTTTTTTAATGTCTATTTGCATCGATCTTTCATCTTCTTCGAGTTCAAAGAAAATTGGTTTATATATGAATGAAAAAAAATAAATTTGAATGAAAGTTTTATTTGACAAGAATAAATAGAAAACAAAAATATAACCGTAAAGCAAGTGTTGCATTTGAATACTGAATACCTATTACCGTGATCTGAAAATAATCCGTCTTGTACTTCAAACCACCTAAAATTTCTCACCTCGTCCTTCTCACTTGAGCGTTTTGTCTGGTAGCATTGAAAAATATAAAAGAATGACTAGAAAAAATACAATACAATAAATAACCAGCATTGAATAATATCGAATCGGTTCATATCCTTCTCTTGGCACATCTACTATCCAGTTATCCATAAGTAACGCAATTTTTTCGTCGTCTGCCATCATGCTGGCAGATTTTTGAAAGAAGAAAAAAACGAAAAGAAGATGGAAATCGGGTGTAAGCACGGAGACGATTTCGGAAGGAATGCCAGATGGAATAAATGGCAAGCACGATTAGGAGGACGAGATTAGGATCTGGGAAACGTCTCCGGATGGAGTGACAAAAATGCTTGCAACGTTTTAGATGAAGGTTGAGTTGATAAATTTGGACAGAGGAAAAAGGAAACATAATTTTTAAATGTATAAATATTTCATTGATAGCATCCTATATCTTTCGACCAGAATGAATGAGATGTGAAATGATAAGTGACTGGTTTCATTGATGGTCCCGAGTAATACTGAGCATCCGAATGTATACATTTGTAGTTTTCTCGCTGTGGAAGTTCACAGAAATCTGCGTTCAGGCATCCGACGTCACCAGGCTGATGATCGAATGCAACCCCGTAAAACGCATCATAATAGCATTTGAAAACAATCGGAAGATAGAAATCTGCATTTGGAAGTTGTGGTGCCAATGATTGTATCGTTGAGACATTTTTCATTCTGAAAAATATTCATATTGCAGGTAAATTATATTTGTTTCAAATAAATTAGGATACCTTCGATAGCTCGAATATCATCCTTCCGAATTGTTTCATTTAATGGTCCGAATTCAATTTTCCACATATTTCTTGAGGTATTCTTTCTTTTCCCATCCTTTTCAACTGGTAATTGAACATGGTGTTGGACTTGTAACGTTGGCTCTTGTCATAAAGCTAACATGCTTACTGTAGTGAATCCAAGTGGCGTTGTAGGCGTCGGTTCTAACTACAACTTTGCCCCGTTTTACAACTTTTGAGGATCGAAGGGAGTCTACAAGTTCAGTAAAACTGAATTCAGATAGTGTTGGAGCTGAAAACGTGTTTGTATTCATAATGGAAAAATGACAATTGTACCTTTAACATATTCATACTCTCTTCTTCCGTAAGCCATGTAATTTGTACCTGGATTTGTGGCAAGCACCGCATTAAACTCTTCCAAATATGTTGGGTAGTTTTTAGAAAATAGAACATCATCCATATCGAAAAATTCAATGTACTCCGCTGCTTCTTTGTACTGAAGAAGACAATCTGTTTGTGCTCCTGCTTGATTCCTCCACATAATATTAGCATTTGGATCGAAATATTGAGATTCAATATTGGAAAATTTCATTCTAAGCCAGTAATCTAAAGTGAGGTATCCTTGTCTCTCATATTCTTGCATTAACTCGAAATAAGATTTGATAATTGAAGTCAGATAAATGTGTAAATGACCTCCTTACATGAAGTGTTTTCGTTTTTTATTATTTTTACGGAAGCTATGATAGGAACCTGTTCGCAGCATGAACATGTATGAGAAGCATTTGTCATTGTTCTGCAGCAAATTGAGGAGAAATACAAATGATCACAGGTTTAGGTGCAGTGTAACGAGCCATTTTGAATGGGATCTGAATATTTGTTTTAGACAGACGGACTACAAGTTTAAAGTGTTACCCGAACTGTCACTCCATTTGATTCAATTTCCAATGTCTTTAAATTTTCTACAGTATTCGTTCTTCCCATAATTGTCGTGTAACGGCAAAGTTCAAATCCTTCCTCTTGTGACGTGGCAATGGAACTGATTGAAGTCGTCAAATTGGTACTGATAACTGTAAATGTGTGGTTTTCCATACTATGACTTATTTGATCGATAGCCATATTGAAAGCAACAGCGTTTGATCCAAGACTAAAAGTTATAGTCACATTCTCAAAGAAGCAGCACGAGTTTACCTTTTCGACGTTGGGTAGTAGTAGGCAGAAGTAATAAACGCTTGTGATACTTCTAATTTTAATTTTGAATCTGCCCTAGGGTCCACAATGATATATTTGTAAAATAGCAGAAAACAGATTTTAGAAGTTAGAAAACCAAAATGAAGAGTCTTTTTGAAGAAAATCCAATGTGGATGCATGCTGTTTGAGCTCAGATTTAAAATAAACAATGAACAACTACACGAAAAGGGATCTGTCTCAGGTCCCTCCCATTTCTCATTTTCACTAATGACTTTTTTAGAACTTGAACAGATCCCTCTTTTCACCCGGGATTATATTTTTCTATCTTCTATTTAACTATTCCCGGTTTCTCCCTCTTACTTAGATCGGTCTCGTAAAGGGCGTTTTCTAAGTCTTTTATGGTTTTCTCTCTAATTCATATTCTTTCTGTTCAATAAAATAAATAACAAGGGAACAAAAAAAGATAATTCTCAACACGGAATCTCGGCAACCAATCTAATACCGAAAAAAAGCCAAATCTCGTTTTTTAGGTGCCAGAAAATGGCTTTTTGAAGTCGACCGGCCATGATTCTCCATTTTGAAACATCTGCCCAGGAAGAAAATTTACATAGATTACGAAAATTGATGTCAATAAGGGGCGTCTTTACCTTTTAACGAGTGTCTCACTAACGAAAAGCTTCAAAATTGAACTTCAAATACCTCCACGGTTTTGGTTGCATATTGTTTATTCAAACTGAGAGCTACTTGAAATGTTCAATTAAATACCGTAAAAGCTCTATTAGATAGACACTCTTAATTAAATGCCAGCTTCTAATATTGTGCCACCCTAGTTTTCACAGTATGTTTATATGGACAGTGCTGACCCAAAGTCTCTCCCAAAACTTCAAACTCACTTTAAATAGTCATCTTTAGTTGTCTGAAAAATTATTATTACTTCTCCGTTCGGTCATAAAGTGTGTGATTATAAATCAAATACATAAACTTCTACATTTGTGGTTATATATAAGGAAGATAAAGATTTCATTGATAGCATCCTATATCTTTCGACCAGAATGAATGAGATGTGAAATGATAAGTGACTGGTTTCATTGATGGTCCCGAGTAATACTGAGCATCCGAATGTATACATTTGTAGTTTTCTCGCTGTGGAAGTTCACAGAAATCTGCATTCGGGCATCCGAAGCCACCTGGCTTATGATCGAATGCAGCCCCGTAAAACGCATCATAATAGCATTTGAAAACAATCGGAAGATAGAAATCTGCATTTGGAAGTTGTGGTGCCAATGATTGTATTGTTGATGCATTTTTAATTCTGAAAAAGATTCCTGTTTCAGATAAGATCTACTTCATAATACCTATAAATATCTTCTTCAATAGCCCTAATATCATCTTCCCGAATTGTTTCATTTAACGGTCCGAATTCAATTTTCCACATATTTCTTGAGGTATTCTTTCTTTTCCCATCCTTTTCAACTGGTAATTGAACATGGACCAGTGTTGGACTTGTAACGTTGGCTCTTGTCATAAAGCTAACATGCTTACTGTAGTGAATCCAAGTGGCGTTGTAGGCGTCGGTTCTAACTACAACTTTGCCCCGTTTTACAACTTTTGAGGATCGAAGGGAGTCTACAAGTTCAGTAAAACTGAATTCAGATAGTGTTGGAGCTGAAAACGTGTTTGTATTCATAATGGAAAAATGACAATTGTACCTTTAACAAATTCATGTTCTCTTCTTCCGTAAAACATGTAATTTGTACCTGGATTTGTGGCAAGCACTGCATTAAACTCTTCCAAATATGTTGGGTAGTTTTTAGGAAATAGAATATCATCCATATCGAAAAATGCAATGTACTCCGCTGCTTCTTTGTACTGAAGAAGACAATCTGTTTGTGCTCCTGCTTGATTTCTCCATTCAATATTAGCATTTGGGTCAAAATATTGAGATTCAATATTGGAAAATTTCATTCTGAGCCAGTAATCTAAAGTGAGGTATCCTTGTCTCTCATATTCTTGCATTAACTCGAAATAAGATTTGATAATTGAAGTTAGATAAATGTGTAAATGACCTCCGAATCTGAAGTGTTTTTGCTTTGTATTATTTTTACGGGCGCTATGATAGGAACCTGTTAGCAGCATGAACATGCATCAGGAATATTTGCCATTGTTCGGCAACGAATTGAGGAGAAATACAAATGATTACAGGTTTAGGTGCAGTGTAACGAGCCATTTTGAATGGGATCTGAAAGATTGTTTTAGGCAAATGGACTACCAGTTAAAAGTGTTACCTGAACTGTCATTTCATTGGATTCAATTTCCAATGTCTTTAAATTTTCTACAGTATTCGTTCTTCCCATAAGTGTTGTATATCGGCAATTTCCAACTCCTTCTGCTTGTGACGTGGCAACTGTACTGAGTGAAGTCGTCAAATTCGTACCAATAACTGTGAATGTGTGATTTTGCATACTATGACTTCTTTGGTCAATAGCCATATTGAAAGCGACAGCGTTTGATCCAAGACTAAAAATTACAGTAATATTTTTAAGGCAGCAATATTAGTTTACCTTTTAGATGTGGGGTAATAATAAGCAGAAGTAATGAACGCATGTGATACTTCTAGTTTTAACTTTGAACCTCCTCTAGGATCCGGAATGATTAAATCTTTATTTTCAGTTACATTTTCAACTGTTGAACTTTCTCTGTCGCAATTATACTGGTTGGAGCAAATAAAAATGTAGAATAGCAGCAAACAGAGAATTGAGATTAGAAAACCAAAGTAAAGAGTTCTTTTTAGGAAAAGCCAATGTAAATGCATGCTATTTGAATCCAGATTGAAAAGGCACAATGGACAACGAAAAGGAACAAGAAAGAAAGTTTGCGACACGTAACGGAATCTTGGCGATGAATCTCTCCCGAAAATCACAAAATCTCGTTTGTTCCGTGCCAGGAAATGGCTTTTTGAAGTCGACCGGCCACGATTCTCCATTTTGAAACATCTATTCCGAAAGAACTTGTACTACCGTAAAACCTCTAATATTATAGAACCCACCTCTCTAAATTTAAACTTGGAGCCAGTTTTTCTCGGTTCCTGTAAAAGATATCAAAGATTTGTCTACTGATAAATCGTTTACCACATTATCAGCAGTTTTTTGTCAGTTGTAACATTTTTGATATCTTCCATAGGAATCGAGATAATTGAGCGCAAACTTGACAGTGTGGGACTCTTCTGCTATAGGTTTTACAGTATGTATTACAGTAATTGAGATGTCAATGAGCGATATCTCTACCTGTTAATAAATTTCTCATTACCAAAAAAATTTTCAAACGAAATTCACGAAATGATAATCGCAGAAGAGATTTTTTGCACAGCTTTTGAACTAGAAAGACAATTTTTAGCAGATTTTTGTTTGACAGGAAGCTGTTTTTTTAATTGTCCCGGAAAATATTTTAAAAGACTTTTCCAAAAATTCAACAAGTTCCCATGTTCTATTCTAAAACCTCGAAAGTGCTTATTCCAGATCCAATCTCCGAATGCAATCGATACCCGGACAATGGCGAACCTTTCGCCGTTTCACAAACTTATAGGTGGGGGGTCATGAAAAAATAATGTTCTCGAAATTCTGTTTAAATATGCCCCTTGAGGAGTTGAACTTGTCGAGGCGAGTATTGAAGGTGCGGCGCCGCTACCTACTGAGCCATGCGGGCGAAACTGGAGCGGGCGCCTGATTGCATACATAAAGGCGAGGACGACCGCTGTATGCAGAGTGACATTAAGCGTTGTACACCGTTACGGTAGAATGCATACTCTGGCTCCAAAAATACCCCGTAAAATCTCCTGTCCCCCCACCTTTATCTAACAACAAAATCAACTGAAAAAGACAATCGTTTAAAACGAACTGCAAAGATTCGAAAAAATATGTCTAACAAGTTCCAATCCATGAAATGATAAATGATTAATAGTTGTCATGTAACTCAATCCATTGTTCGCCTCATCATAGAATCGCCATGTGGAGGTCGTCCTGTTCCAGAAAAGAGAATCGTAATCGAATGGAACACACTTTTCACATCCTTGAACCATCTTCTCATACCGAACACGAGCGATTGTGTGGTTCCTTTGAACAAACGACTTCTAAAAAACATTAATATTTAAAACTTTTCCATACAAACTTACATCAAATTCTGCCAAGTCCTCTTTGTTTTTAATTACTTCTACTATTTTCTCAATGTTGGACGGCACAATTTCCGGAATTTGCATGAACACGAAAACCTTGAATTTGACACTGGTCACTAAAACATCAAATGATTTTTTCATTGATTTATAAATCGGATCATCTTCCACCCGAGTTACTCCTGCTGCAAATGGGTCACCAATATCAAGAAATCTGGTAAATTTTTGTTTATCAAAACGTGAAGATATCTAAAACCTGGAAGTGAGAAATGCATAATCCGGTTTCTCATCTGCTACAACTTTTTTGAACATTTCTACAGTATCAACGCATCGTTGCCCATATTTCACAGCGGGATATAACGGCTCGCATGCTGAAGAAATAACAAAAAATTGGGAATTTATTCGCTAGCCTACCACTTATAGATATTTGAACCAACTCTCTCGCTTTTGATCCACATTCCTGATGAATTAAACGACCATGGTTTGCAGCAAAACTGTTCCCAATAATCAATATTTTGAATTTTCCTTTGTATACCTCTAGGCCCTGGAAACTTTGAAGGTCAGGTGTTTTGAATTTTGAAGGACGTACCGTATGGTTGCATCTGCCAAATGGACCACTTCCATCGTCGTACTTACATGTTGGAACAAAAGTATTCAAGTAATCGTTCACTGACCACTCATTGTTCAATCTATTGGCGTCATCTAAAAGTAAAATTTAATCACGAATGCCGTGGGCCGAGCTGATTTTGAACAGTTTATCGGCCCGGATAAGTTCGAATTTGCGAAGGTATTCGGCAAAGAAGCGTGTTTTTGATAGTTTGAAAAATAAAGTGTGCGCATTTAGAAAAAAATTTGGTGAATGTCTATCCGGACCAATACGGGCCGAACCGACAGAGAATTAACAATTTAATAAATTCTGAGAAGCAAACCATAACTGACGTTCCCTATCACAATTCCATCCAATCTCGGAACATTTTTATGTGGTTTTGATTGGATCCATTTTTCTATTTGATCATGGTAAACAGTCGTAAAATTGAGCATCAAAAAAACAATGCAGATAATGGCAATGGTCCTTCGAGATAGTTTTAAATACCATTTTTCGAAAAACTCATAACTGAGAACAGCTAGAATGACAGAAAGACCAAAAGCAAGTAATAGAGAAAGATTCCAAATACTCCCATAACTTAATTGCAGTTTCCAAAAAGCATAAATCGGCCAATGAATCAAATACAAAGAGTAAGAAATATCTCCAATATAAGTTAGAAAATGAAATGAAAGGAACGAGTCTTTTTCAGAAAACAACATTACAAGTCCGGTGGCAATTGTGAAGAATGGTCTGAAAATATTTTGGAATAAAGCTTCCATTTCGGTCGGTTGAAAATCGGCGACCGTCTACCGACCGCCTACCCAGCCTACCGAATTCGTGCATTTGCGCGTCAACATGCCAGAGAATGCTTGCGTGCGTGATTGAAAAAAAAATTTTAAAAATTCGTCGTGCGGTCGGCAATCTATCGGCTGAGTGGGCGGTCGGCCGAATTTCCCGACCGATTGGAAGCCTTATTTAAGAACTTGAAATCCGGGATCGTTTCTTACCTTAAGAATAGTGAAGAGATTTTCGAAGGGCACAATACTAATCCAACCATGCTGCCCAATGTCAGTAATTTGATAATCGTCGGTGAATTTGATTCTTCAAAGTTTTCAAATTCTTCTTGAACTGAAGAAGCATTTTTCAACAAAGCATCATCCTCATTTTGATTTTCGAGATCACAATTCTCCAATAAAGATACTTTTGAGAGAGTATTCGTATCTGGTTCACTGGCAATAAATACAATCATTCCAATCATAAACTGCCAAATTCTTGCAAGAACACTATTGAATGCTTTCGTTCTAGAGCAAAACAAATATGAATATCCGTAGGAAATAATCCCTAAAAATAATATTCTTGGAATATTTTACGAATCTACTGCAATAAACCTAAAATTCCAAAGAAGTGCATTTGAAATCTAGCAGGAATAGTTTTGATTCCAAAAAGAAAGATAATAGGAATAATAAAATAAAACTGAACTTCGACAGACAGAGACCATGTATGAGTGAAAACATCAATGGCAAGAGAAAGCTGGAAAAATTGATTTAACTTTTGGTAAAAATGAAGATCTGGAACCATTGAAAAGTAATCCTCAGCTTGTGTAGCTGGGCGGTTGGAGAGGAAAATAAGTGCTCGTTTCGAAGATTCCAGATTTGTTTCATATGCAGGTTTTGGGAAAAGATAAATTAGAAAAATTAATGAAACGAATATTATTAACAAGTATAAAGGCAGGATTCGTTTCAATCTTTTTGAATAAAAGTTGAAAACAAAACCAAATATTGTTTGGCTATTGAGTGATGCTGAAGATTTTCTCAGAAGCTTGCACATGAAAAACCCAGAGAGAACGAAGAATCTGAATTTTTCTGCTGACTTCATGAAATCAATGCAATAGCTAATACTTACTGATCAACTCCCAGGTATCCATTTGGGAAGATCCTTGGCAAAAAATGGAATCCAAGAACAGACAGAATAGCTAATCCCCGTACTCCCTGAAGATCGAGGCGCTTGTTTTCAGTCGAAACCTTCTCCATCGTGAAATGAATAAAAATATCTGAGAATTGTAGGGATTTTTCTAAATATGTGAACAAGACAAGACTTTTTTCAGGTCCTGGCCGAAAACGAAATAGAACAAAATGTTTCGATTCAAATCAGATTAGCTTCCAGAGATTTTCATCATTAACGACAACAGTTATCAAGATTTTTGAACAAAGAGAAAGAATTTATCCAATTATTTCAATGCATCTTTTTTCAGTGCATAACTTTCAGAAATATTAGATTACCGTTTTCTTGTTTTTTTGTTTCTAACTTTTGGGAATTAGTTTTTAGTGATGGGGTTTTGCATGTTGTTCTCTGTGTTTATGGGAATTCCAGTAATTATCTACAAAAGTTATGATTCATGGACCCTGCTTTTCGATGTCATGGTGTCTTTTGCAATCAACATTTCGAATTTGTTGGTTTCGAATTAATTTCATGTACTTCTATAAAACGAAAGAGTTTCGGGGTTGCTGGGACGCAATTTGTGAGCAGGCCTTCAGGCCCCCGTGAGTTTTGGGTAAACATAATTATTGAGAAACAAGGAGAACTGATTTTTTTAGCCTCAAAATCTTTAAAACTTTGATCTACAAAGAAATCCACAAAATCTATTGACATCTGTTTTTGTTTCGCCTATTTGTACTTCTTTTCAGCTGAATCAACTTCGAATAAATTAAACTTTATTTTCGCAAATTCTGTTTTTTCGAACCAATCGAATTGAAAAAACTAGTCTCGAAGTTCAAAATGTTTGCGCTTGTATTATGCGGGTTAAAAAAATCGGAGCTGTGGAAGAGAAACACCGGGGCCGTGGCCGAAGATCCCACAACGACAACTACCGTAACCTAAAAGTATTTTTCTTTTCCGGTTTGATTATCTCGATTATCGTGAGTTTTCAGTCATTTTTTTTGTTTAGCAAAAGTTGTTAATTTCCGACTAATGTTGAAAAAATAACGAAAAACTTGGCGAAAAGTAGTAATAAACGAGAAAAATACGGGAAAATATACAATTAGGTTACTGTAGTTGTCGTTGTGGGACTTCCAACGACTCCGTCAAATTTTTATCGTTGTGGGGCCTTCGGCCACGAAATTCCATATTTTGGAAACGCAAGATTCAGAGTAAAAAACAAGAACCTTGATAATTAATGATGGAAATTTCGTTGAATTCGAATACCGACGAGAGCGTGTTTTTAGGGATTTTTTGAAACCTGAGAACTTTCAGATTCTGATACGATTATTACAGATTAAAAACAATTCTGAAGATTTCTGCTTCTATCTGAAATCTAAAACTGGAACAAAAATTAGTTCCTGAAACACACTCGACACTAACTTTATTCAAATTGTTGAAAATAATACAAAAACTAACGATTTTACTGATAACACCCGATATCTTTAGACCAGAATGGATCACTCGAAAAATGATAAGTGAATGGTTCCATAAGCGGACCAGAATAATATTCAGCATCTGAATGAATACATCGATAATCGTCTCTTTGAGGTAATTCACAGAGATCTGCATTCGGACATTGTTCAGGTCCTTTTTTTTTCTGCTTATCAAACACCCATCCGTAAAATGAATCATAGTAACACTTGAATACAATTGGGAGATAAAAATCTTGACTTGGAAGATATTTTGCGATTTCAGCAACTCTCGAAATATTTCTGATTCTCCATACGTCTTCTTCAATCGCCTTCACGTCTTCTGGTTTGATTGTTTCATTCAGTGGTCCGAATTCCATTTTCCACACATGAGTAATATCGTTTCCTCCGTTCTTCTGAAGTGGCCGTTGGACATGAACAAGATGTGGGAAAGATACGTTGTGTCTGAAGATGTCTTATGAGAGATTTCCTTTGAATTCTGTCTACCTGGTTGCTGGATTTTCATGCCAACTGTAATGAATCCATGTGTGATTGTAGGTCTCTCCTCTAACAACTACTTTTCCACGTTTCACAGTTGGAGAGGATCGAAGGTTATCGACAAGCTCAGTGAAACTGAATTCAGCCAACGTCTGAGCTGAAACGCGTTTTTCTAAGTTATTGAAAACTCTTTTCTCCATTGCTCACCCTTAATGAACTCATGTTCTCTTCGACCGTAAAATAGAGATGTAGCATTTGGCATCAAAGCCCATTCAGCGTTGAATTCTTCCAAATACGTTGGATAATTTGCAGGGAACAGAATATCGTCCATATCGAAAAATGCAATGTATTCTGCAGCTTCCTTATACTGTAGAAGACAATCGATTTCTGCTCCTGCTTGATTTCTCCATTCGATATTTCCATTTGGCTCGAAATATGGAGTTTCTGTATGACTGAACTTCATTCTAAGCCAGTAATCCAATGTGAGATATCCTTGTTTTTCATACTCTTTCATTAGTTCGAAATATGATTCAATCATTGAAGTGACATACATATGAAGATGACCTCCAAATCTAAAAGCACAACGTTTCATAAGAAACTGATATAGGTCAACTAAACCGATTTGCCACGTGTACATGCATCACAAACATCTGCCATTGTTCGGCGGCGAATTGAGGTGAAATGCAAATGACAACAGGTTTTGGAGCAGTGGTGCGTGCCATTTTGAACGGGATCTTGAATTAAGAAAGTTGAAATGCTAACTAGTGAAATATCGTAATACCTCCACTTTTGTTCCATTAGATTCCATTTCCAATTTTTGAAGGTTAGCTACAGTGTTAGTACTGGCCATGGCAGCAGCATAGCGACAGCTTGGATGGCCTTCTCTGAAATTTATAATTTTAGGTGGAAATCATATTTTCAGAATTTTTCAGCTTTCAGAAAAAAAGACTTACATTTTCGATGAAGCAAGTGTTGTTAATTCCTGTGTTCCATTGGATCCTACAACACTGTACGTGGCATTTTCGACATTGAAGTTAATTGTGTCCACCACCATGTTTAAGGCAACAGCATTGGTTCCTAACCTACATATTAAAAAATCCTGATTAAATGATAAACAAATCATTTCAACCCACGATTTAGATTTTGGATAGAAGTATGCAGAAGTGATAAAGACATGAGTAACTGATAGTTTTAGTTTTAATCGTCCTTTTGGATCATTCACAACTCCTGTCTCATCTTGTGTAAAACCTTGGTCCTCGTTATTTTGTACTGAATCAAAAGATTCACTGCCAGCGAAGTCATTATCAGATTTTACTTCTGGTGTTGGAGATTTATTCACGAAATACAGTAATACAAGAAGAGTAATAATAATAGTCACGAGGATGTGTTTCAACCTGGACATTTTTTGAGAAGGAGAAAAAGAAGGATCACTTTTTTCTTCTAGAAGGACATAGATACACATTCTGACGAATTGTTCTTGTGGAACAGGAATACAGGAGCAGATTTTGATCAAAAAGGGAGACAAAAAGATCTACACGAACCCGTTAAATTTTTGTTGAAATTCGCAATCGCGAGTGGGGATCTATCCAGGACGCGTACGGATCCAAAAAGGAGATGCCGGAGATGAAAAAATGTCGTTGAAAAAGTGTATGCTTAAGCTAATTGAAATATAGGACAGAACCATACCTGTAAATTGAAGGCCCTGCCAGCAAAGGCCGGGCCTAAAGAAACATTTGGCCAGGCTTGGTAGGCCCGGTATAAAAAAGTCCTGTATCTTTGAGCCAATTTTTCCGTTGAAGATTGTTCAGAAGGAAAATGTTCTCAGTTTTTTGTTTGGTTTGTTCGGGCCGGATTGGGCTCAGCCTGGCTCGTTACAAATATGGACAAGACTTTTTAAACATTTTGCCGGAATACCGGTGTTACTTCAACAACCAAAAAATCGATACTTTCATCACTTCGATGCTATGTTTATTAGTTTTTGTTATGAACATGCTTTTCAGTCAACTCATTCCAAAAAATCCCTTTCCTTTATTTATGTCAAAAAAATTTGCCGGCAAATCGAAAGATCACAAATTTTCGCTTCCCAAAAGTTGACAGGCCATCTTCGATAGAGATTTTCTCTGTCCCTCGATGTTGTCCCTCGATGTCGATGTCTCGTCGGAACCGACAGGGAAAGTTGAGATTTGCTATCGGAGAGTACATTTCTTTTTGAGAACCCCTGAAAAACTTCTTCGGGACAATAAGGTCCAACAACGCCAACCAAAGATTTTCGATGCTAGAATATTTATTTTTTAAATACAAAAATTACAATAATAGCAGGTCATCATTTACGTTTTTGACGAGAAGCGCTACCAGCCTGTGAAACATAATTCATTAGAATTTCTGTTTAACGAATTGTGCACTTTACCTCTTGTGGTTCATCAGATGGTGGTGGTGGAGGAGGTGGAGGGCCTCCAGTTCCCTTCGGTGGTGGTGGAGGTGGTGGCGGACGACGAGAAGCGTGGTTGGCCTCGTTTAACTGGAATTATATAAATTTAAGTAACGGCATACAGGTTTTCAGTAGAAAACCTCTTCTGGTACTCCGGTTGGTGGTGGTGGTGGAGTTCCGGTTCCACGTGGTGGCGGAGGTGGTGGACGGCGAGATGCGCCACCAGCAACTACCTGTGAAACACAATTCATTAGAGTTTTCATTTAACGAAATGTGTGGCTAACCTCTTGAGGTTCATCAGATGGTGGTGGTGGTGGAGGTGGAGGGCTTCCAGTTGCCTTCGGTGGTGGTGGAGGTGGTGGTGGACGACGGGATGCATTTCCTTCTACAAGATCTCTTGGTTCCTCGGATGGCGGTGGTGATGGAGTTCCGGTTCCACGTGGTGGTGGAGGTGGTGGTGGACGACGAGACGAGATACCAGCAACTATCTGTGAAACGTACGTGGTTCGAACATAACGGAATGTGAGTTTTACCTCTTGAGGCTCATCAGATGGTGGTGGTGGAGGAGGTGGAGGACTTCCAGTTCCTTTCGGTGGTGGTGGAGGTGGTGGTGGTCTCTTGGAGACTGGTCCTCCATGGTGTGGAGCAGCGAAAGAAGTCACCACCAGTGCGGTGAAAAGGAGAACGAATTTGAAGCCTCTCATTGTGAACTAAATGAGTAATACTTTTTCAGTCTGATTGATTCCTTTTTATATCATATCAAATGGTGTAGATCTATCTTCTAAATTGGGTGTATCAGTTGATAGTTTTGGAGCTCACAGTTCTCGAGCAGTTTGGATGGAAAACGGTCGTTTATCAAAAATGATGAACAGATCAACATCAAGTTATCATCCAGTGATAAGAGAATGTTTTCTCAATCAGCTTGCCTCGTTCATTGGAACTATGTAACTTGATAGTTAATTCCGTATTATCTGCCGTAGAACCTCTATTAGAAGAGCTGACCTTACTGTTCAAAGGTATCTACGGAGGGCCCTTCTATTACAGAGACCTTTCAATTAGAGAAGGCCATCTTATTTTTCCGGCCATCTTTTCATTGAAAATTCGATGAGTTCTCTTCCAAAACTAATGAAAATATATAAATTCCACCAAAATGGACAAAATTCCAAAAAAAAAAGAGTTTTTCAAAAACTTCTGTGAAATTGTCTATTTTCCGGAACATTTTTCACTGGAACCGTACATAAATTTTTGACTTCAATCAACGCATTTTGATGGGAACCCTTTTAATACAGGTTTTACAGTATCCCATTCCAATTTTTGAAAACATCTTTCATTTCCCTATTAGGTTCGAGTATAACATTGCCGATCTTAGACGGAACTTTATCATTTCCGGGCAATCATCATTAGATCCTTGTTCTGAATTGTTTTTAGAGATTGAAATCAATATTTCAAACTTATCAATGTTATCAATCATTAAAAATTGCACAACTGTTTCGTATTCAGTTTTCATTTTTCTCGACATAGCTTTGATTTGATGTTTCCATTTAAATTGAAATTCTAGATTGAATATCTTTGAAAAGAATACAGATAGAAGGTAAAACATATATAACTCATTATAAAAAAAGTTTTATTACAAAAAATAAATAATGAATGAAATGTGATAATATTTTGAAGATATACTATACTTTGTCCAATTTGATGATCAAGAGAATCTGAAATTTACCTGAAACAAACTTACCACCAAACCTACCCAAAGCAATAGCAGAATAAATTCAGAATACAATGCGAACCAATTCAAGCCAGCCAGCCACAAAAAAACGCAACTCACTTTCTTTCACTCACCTGTAGTCGTTGGTTTTCCCGTAGTCGTAGTAGTTGTTGTTGGAGGTTTAGTTGTTGTGATTGGGGCAAAAGTTGGAGGAATTTTAGGATCATAGCTACATGCAAAATACATCTTCTCCGTACCATCAAATGTGGTCCATTGTCCATTTGAAATCTTCTCACCAGCCTGAGTCTTGCCTTGTTGGCTATCGAAATTGCTCCATCCATCCAACAAGACTCCGTTATCCCAAGTCCATTGATTCCAGTTATGAAGTCTACTCAATCCAATCCAAAATGCTCCATCACCGGTTTCAAATGCGTTTCGGGCATAAGCTGAATAGAAATTATACATTCGAGTAATTCAAAATTAAATTAACTAACAAGCCAAAAAATTAGCTGTAAACTGATTTTTCACAATCGCCAAATAAGATGGTGTTACTGGATTCTTGTAATGGCACCAGTCTCTTGCATCGTCGTACGTCATGTTCAGCTTAACATAATGAAAGCATATTCCCTGGAGTTCCTTTTCATTTGGGTCCAAGCATGTTCCAGAAACACCAAATACCAATGTAACGCATAGAAATATCATCTTTCGGAGCATTCTGAACTGTTTTGGTCAGTTTTTGAAATAAAAAAGTGGAAAAAAAATGTTTTAAATGGTGAGAAAGTATTTTCGCACCTCTAATATGTGATAAGAAAAATGATGATCAGACGAAATCAAAAAAAGGGTGTGAAAAATGATGACTCTGAAATAATGGTTTCAGACCAAACTATCACTCTGGATGATGTGATGAAAGTAAGAGCCTTTATGGGTCGGTAATTTTATCAAGTGATAATATCTTATTATGAACATTTTATTCAACAGTTCGAACGTCATCTCTACAAAGTACAAAACTGTACAATATTTTAATGAGAGTTCAGTGTTCTGAAACTCCGAATGGTATTGGAGTTCCGGTTTCTTTTGGAGGTGGGTGCTTTTGATGTGGACTGAAGCGGTGTTGGTCAACTAGAATGATATCACTTTAAGGCTCAACATGAAGGTTTTTCAGTGTAAGACCTCTTGTGGTTCTGCAGTTGGTGATGGTGGTGGAGTTCCAGTTCCTTTCAGTGCTGGAGGTAGTGGAAAGATGCATTGTAAATTTTTCAGTGAACAAACATCCGGAGGCTTAGGTTGGAATATTGTTCCTTCAGGTGTTGGTCAGAGATAACAGGGATGGAAAAATTTAAACTCGGATGTCGAAAGTCGGAAGGTCGTAGTAAAAATGGCGTATGCTTTATTCTATGCTTTAGTTCTGAAAAAAACAGATGATGTATACTATGCCTTGGTCTTAAACCGTTTTTTAGAGATTGAAAACTACTTTAAACTTAACACTCTATGAGAACAAGCTCAGACAGTGTTCTCCATTATTAAACATTTCGCTAATATTTCATGTTTAGTTTCTATTTTTTTCGACATAATTTCGATTTTATGTTTGCATGGTTTTTTTTATTCAAATTGAGATTATATATTCATTATATTTAAAAACATACAGATAGAAAGTAAAACTTTATTAGAAATCATTAAAAATATTTTATTACAAAAGAAGAAATTCATGAAATGGAATTTCAAAATTAGACTTTGTCCGATGGTCCAGAGAATAAGAAGTTTTCCTGAAACTAACACACCAACGAACCTACCAAAAGATCCTTCTCAGCAATAGCAGAATAAATTCAGAATACAATGCGAACCAATTTTAGCCAGCCAGCAACAACAAAAAACGCAACTCACTTTCTTTCACTCACCTGTAGTCGTTGGTCCTCGTGTAGTCGTAGTTGTAGTAGTTGTGGTAGTCGATTTAGATGATGTTGGTGGAGCGAAAACTGGAGGATCAGTTGGATCATAACTGCACACAAAGTAGTTTGTAGAGTTATCAGGAACAGTAGTCCATTTTGCATTTGACACTTTTTCAACCACATAGTTCTGCTTGATTTGGTCATCGAAATTACTCCAACTCTGTCCCAATTGGTATCCGTTATCCCATGTCCATGGCATCCAATTTCTTTCTCTACTCAAACCAATCCAGAATACTGCATCATTGCTCCCAAACGCAGTTCGTGCGTAAGCTGAACTTTTGGTTCGGTCGAAAATTTATTAAATCATTTACTCACTAGCTACAAAATTAGCGACAAATTGGCTATGCATATAAGCCAAATAAGATGGAGTAATAGGGTTCTTGTAATGACACCAATCTCTAGCATCCTCGAATATCAACTTTTGATTCACAAACTTGTAACATTGTCCACTGATTTCCTTGTCATCTGCATCAAAACAGCCACGACAAGTGATACCAGCTACGAGAATGGATAGGACCAATAAATGCATGTTTTGGACCATCTGAATGAAACGAATTTTAAGGGTTAAACTTTTGAAATAGGAGGGCAAATGCACTCGTTGGTTAAAATCAAAGAGTACTCTTATCAGTCTGAAATGGTGAGAAAAGAAATGGGCGGGATTCAGGGAAAACGAATGATGTCGATAGAACGATTAACACTGAAAAAAAATGAAATATATCAAGTGATGAAATGGACAAAGTGTATGGAACTTTGGTCTGAAAATTTAAAGAGCGATAGAAACAAAAATTGGCATGAAATATATTTATTCGAGAAACAAATCTGTAAATACATATATTTCGATTTACAGACAATTCATTGTTAGGATTATTTGATTGATTGCTCTAACCTGAAACCACAAAAAAAATTATTTAATTTATTATTCTAACTCACCAAATTCTTCACGATTCAGACTTAGTGAATGCAAAGTTGACGTAGAGCCAGGTAGCCAATACAAAGCAAACGACAAGAAGAATGATCGGTTTGAAAGATGTCACTGATTCCTCGTAAACCACCAAATCATCTGATTCGTCCACTTCTTTACTGAGAAGTGGTACATCGACAAGAGAACTTTCAAGAGATTTATGAATTGGTACCAAGTTGGACATGATGAGAATAACAGAACAAGTGGAAGGGATTTGCTACGTTTCGATAGGAATGGAAACTTGAGATAAAGATCGGATTTAGCTGTGTCCGTCGGTTGAAAAAAGCATAAGGAGAATGAGAAGAACACTTGGAAAATCGATTGGTGAGGGAGACAGTGAAGATCAGGAATGATAAATTTAGCAGGAAAATTATTGATTAAACTTGATTAGTGTTACTGGTTTATCTGAGGATTTTTTGGTTTCGATGATAGGTCCTTACTTGGTGGAACTCGCACTTGTCGATCTCCTGGTGACCCTGCCCTGTCCGGCCTGGCACAGTAGCCGATTAAAAAAATATTGAGAGCAATTTACCGAATTCCACCTCAAAGAAAAGTTTGCAAGATATTTGGCTCTTTTCATAAAAACTTGGAAAATTTGCAAAAGGGCGCACAGTTTGAACTGATTCTATCTGCATACAGCGTAGTTAGTCAAGTAAGCCACTAATTTTTTTCCTACGCTCTGGCTGAAAGTAGAGGATCATTCTGAAAAATATTCAACTGATTGATGATCTCTTGTTTTGGTTTTGCAATAAGATACAGTTACTTCAAACGCGAATTACTTTTCCACAGCCCTAATAGTTTCGAGAAGTATTTAAGATTACCGATTTTGTCAATTTTATTTGATAGCAAAACTACTAACAAAAATATAAGTTGATTACTTTGAATTTCCTCAAATAGAAGCCCACCCGAACCATCAACTTTTATCTTTATTATCTCGATTCCTGTGGAAGATAACAAACTCTTTATATCTTTCACAGGAACCTAGATAATTGAACTCAAAATTCGGTGGGTTTCTATTAAAGAAAATACGGTAATTATGGAGAAATGTATATCACGAAAAATACATACCGAGCCCTTCCCATCACATCAGAATATGATCTTCTCAGAAATGCAGATCATATTTTGTACATTAGAAATCCCACACCCTTTCAGTTCAAAAATTGTGTTCGACGTGTTTTCCCTCTTCTCCTCCTTTTCCCCTTCTTCCCATCAATTCAAATTCGACAAAAGTGTACAAAACAACGACGTCCGACCGATTCATAAGATACAAATCGGCATTCTCTCCAGTTCCTGGTGTACGTTAGCTTCTTCTTCCTTCAGTTAAATCTATTTTGGCATTCCCTTTTCTTTTTATTCTATGCGAATTCAACTGCATCGTCATTTAAACTATGTATTATCACTGATGCTCGTATTCTTTTTTATGATTTACGTTTTTACAAGATCCGATTTGAATTTGGAAGATGTATGAGAAATAATTTCGATGTATGAAGGTTGATCCTATTTGGAAATCTTGTTGTTAACTTGTAAATAAAGTTTTGTATTTGTTTTCTCAATAAAAACTTCGAATTTTTGTTTTTTTTTTGTCCATGATCCAAAAACAATATTCAGGAATAGAACAGAACAGTGAAAATAAAGCAATAATTAGTCCAGCATCAGGAAAGGACTATTTTTCTGGAAGAAATAGAGTCAAAGCTGGAAAAATCTCTCTAATCACTTTTTTATATATTTTCAGAAAAACTAGAAAGTTGCGTCAAAGTTGACCATGAAGGGCAGTGTATTACGGATTTTACAATATACAAGCGGTTTCAAAACCATTTTATATTGGCCGTTCTGTGCAAACAAATACATGACCACTGGTGAAAAAATATGGGTTTACTTCAATTTTATCAGAGTTTTATCGTTGATTTTTGAATGTTCCAGGTCGACGCAACATTTTTCAGAAGTTATTCCTTTACAGTTTTCGAATGTTCTTTTCCAATTATCAATCAAACCGTTATGAAGAACCATTTTTAATCAACAAAAATTCGGAAGACAAACATTTTGAAAATGTATGGAACGGCGTTAGAATAAAACCACGAAACCTACAGGTATTAAAAAGTTAATTTTTGATGCGCACCAGAATCTAAGGTTACATCGAGTTGTATAGTACATTGGATCCGAAGATCCATGGAATTCTGGGAAGTATCGCGTTTTAGCCTTAATAGGGAATGGTGCAAACGGGTTATGAAGTTATGGCGCATGACCTACATCCCTGGAAAGTTAATAAAAAGTTATTTGTGAATATGCAATCTGAATATGCTAAGCGGTATACAGCTCCGAAAAAATTAGGTCTTGAGCCATTCACTAGATATTTCCTCAATTTCATAAAAAATTTTAGATAGCGTAAACAGTAAATGAATAAATCCAAAATTTGTATTAAAATTGAGGAAAACAGTAGTAAATCCAGATCTTGAAAACTAATTTTCTCCGAGCTGTCCACCGCTTAGCAGATTTTGATTGTATATTTGTAAATAACTTTTTCTTAGCTTTCCAATGTTACCATGTACCATTACTCCATGACCAATTTGCACCATTCTTTAGTAAGCCTAAAATTTTTAGAAAAAAGCGATAGAGTCTGTTAAAAAATATTAGCTTTTTGCTTCGTCCTCCAACATGTACTGCAACGTTTCATCTATCATTGGAACTAATCTATCCTACAAACTAGATGTAACCTTGAATACTGGGCCGATGGCGTTCCTCATTCGCTCAAAACGTTCTGCTTTCAGATGCAGAAAATAAAATTATATTGGAAACTATTTGTGATACCTATATTTTTACTTGTTGCTTTTGGAATTGCTTATGTGAGCTACTTCAGGCACACGGAAACACCCCATATGCACGACTTTGGTATGTGTTTCATTTTATCTGATTTTTCTTAAATTTTCATTAAGATCCTGGTATCAGTGACAAACGAAAAGTCGCCATTTATGAGAACATGATAGATGCTTTGAGAGATGAAAACTATGGTTCTTCTGTTGATTATCAAAAAAGAGCAGAAACCAATCATATTCAGTGTGGGAGAGTATTGAGTGGAGATACAGTAAGTTTACGAGGTAATTAATGCAACGTCCATAAAACTTTTAGGAATACATCAACACTCTCGTGGGAGAAAACCGTATACCACTCATCGAGAATCGCCGTTTGAACATGTCTTGTCCGGCAATTCAAGATCGAATTCATTCCGAAACCCGAGATTTTAAATTATTGGATTCTGGCATTGCATTTGCGAGAGTGGTTTACACCGATTACGAATTCATTGAAAAACAGTTGGAGATGTCGTGGCATCCACAGAACGTCTTCTGTTTCACTGTTGATAAGAAGTCACCGGACGAATTTATTTCGAGAATGCAGAAGTTGGACGAATGTATGGAAAACGTTGTAGTGCTTCCTGGTATATGTGGAATGTTGTCCGAAATTCCAAACTTTATAATTTCCAGTTCTCGAGAACTACGATAGTTCTGGTCACAATATGAACATTGGACACAAACGATGTATGGAGGCGTTGTTACCCAAAACTGACTGGTCTTATATTCTACTTCTTCAAAACCCGATGTCATTATAAAATCTGTTTATGAGATCTCGAAAATCTATAGTCTCTTGGGAGGTGTTAATGATGTGCATTTTGGAAAAGAAATTGATGGAAGAAGAGTACCAGGATTGAAGTGGGATCCTAGAAGTATGAATCTATTCATAAATGGTAAGATTTGAAGGAAACAAAAGTATCTGATTTTTCGTAAAACAGAATCCGGAATCAACGAAAAAGTATTGAATGAGCCTATGAGGGTATACAGTGGTGCTGTGCAAGTATCCCTGACAAGAGCAGCTGTGAAGTGGTTGATTGAAGACGTGGATGTAAGCATTGCAATTAAGCAATTCAATCAGACTGTGAGTGATTTTATATCTTTCCCAAAAACAATGAAGCATTTATAGAAGTATGCAGGAGATGAGCAACTGATTCCAAGTCTCTATCTGAATTATGAATACGGAATGCCCGGTCATTTCACAGATCATTGTCCTGACTATGATGGCCCAAAGCAAATCACTCGGTTCGATAACCGATATTCATCAAAATATTCTCAAAGTAGAACTTCTCAGATTTGTTCAATGGGCCCGCGGAAATATCAACAACTGCCCTACAAAAACAGTTCGACATGGAGTTTGCCTAATTGGGATTGAACAGTTCCGAGCTTTATCTAGAATGCCTTTCATCACAGTTAACAAAGTAAATCATCATCGTTTAATTTAATTGATATTGAATCAACTTCAGATGGTTCCCTCATTCGACTATTCAATTATCGAGTGTACATCAGAACTCCTCTATAATCGAACATTCTTAGGTCAGATGGACCATGAATTGGATGAAAGTTTCTATAAAGAATTGTTACATGTGAGTCGGAGTGATTATATGAAGAATATGAATAGTATTTCAGGTCAAATACCATAAGCATCACGAAGATCCTGAGTACAAATTGGATTGTAGCTCAAATCAAAAACCGTGGAAGTACGAATACTATCTGTGATCTCATATTTATTTTTTTTTTCGGGTCGCTAGTAAAGTTGATTCCGTCATTGAATGAAATTGTTTCCTATCCTTCCTGTTCTTCAAAATTTCAAAACCGGTTTTTACTCTTTAATTTTAATGCATGACTCACCGCCAGTCAAGAAGATACATGTATGCTCTTGTCTTGCCTGCGTCTTTCACTCTTTCACTCTCTCGAATGGATACACCCGTTTCCTATGGCATGTTGGTCATCTTGTCGTGACTGTGTGGTCCTCAGAAATACCAATACTCGCCTATTTTATTGATTTTGACTCTCAAACGGATTTCAAATCGCATTCTTCCTTACGGAAAACCTGATTCGGATGCCTGAAACTCAAAGAAATGCTTGGAAACTATTTGCCCTTGCAGTATGTTGTATTTCATTTTTATCCATAATTCATCCTGTATTCATTATGTATGTTAGTATAGACAATTTTGGTAGGGATGTTCCAGAACTATGATTTCCTTTTTTTTTTGTTTTTCAGATCCAAGTATAGATGACAAACGAAGGATTTTTATTTATGAATACATGATAGGTGCATTAAGGAAAAATAGTTTGCCTTCTGAAGGTTATCAAAAACGGCCAGAAACTCAGCATATCGATTGTGGAAGAGTATTGGGAGGAGATAAAGTAAGTAACGTAAAACCTGTAATAACCCTAACTTTCAACTTCGACCCGATTTTTATAGGTTCCTGTAGAAGATATTAAAAAGTTGTCAACTGACAAAATGTTTATCACAATATCGCAAACATTTTATCATCTGACACATTTTCAATATCTTGCATACGAGCCAAGAAAAATTAACTCAAACTTGACAGCGTGGGGGCCATTCTATTACAGGGTTTACAGTTTTGTGTTTTTATGTTTTTTCTCAAAATATACATTTTTTCTTTCTCAAAATATTTAATGTCGTCAAAAATTATTTCAGAGTTACACTGAAAAACTGATTGGAGAAAACCGTATCCCACTGATTCAAAACGGTCTATTGAATATGTCTTGTCCGGATATTCAAAATCGAATTCATCCTAACAACCGAAACTTCATCCCTCTGAAATCTGGAGGCATTGCATTCGCGAGAATAGTTTACACAGACTACGAATTTATTGAAAAACAGTTGGAAATGTTGTGGCATCCACAAAACGTCTTCTGTTTCACTGTTGATAAGAAGTCGCCAATCGAATTTATTTCGAGAATGAAAAAGTTGGAAGAATGCCTTGAAAACGTAATAGTTCTTCCAGGTAAATCATCGTTCCCAATCTGGATTTTACTTTTTGAACTTTTCAGCTACTGAAAGTTACGACAGCTCTGGCCACAATATGAACATTGGTCAGAAACGATGCATGGAAGCCCTTTTACCGAAGACTGGCTGGAAATATATTCTATTTCTCCAGAATTTCGACGTTATCGTGAAATCCGTTTACGAGTTGGAAAGGATTTACGAACTTCTCGGAGGTGTGAATGATATACATTATTGCAAGGAGGTCGAAGGGAGAAGGATTCCTGGATTGAGCTGGGATCCGAAAAGTATGCATCTATTCAGAAACGGTGAGACTATTCGATTTTTCGAAACAAATCTTTAGAAGAATTCAGAATCTGGGATCAGTGAAAAAGTGTTGCATTCTCCAATGAGAGTATTTAGTGGATCGGAACAAGCATCCTTATCAAGAGCAGCAGTGAAGTGGTTGATTGAAGACGTGGATATGAATATTGTCATTGAACAATTTAATAGAACTGTAAGGGTTGTTTTATCTTTGCCTCCGAAAGCAATGTTTATAGGCGTATGGATGCGACGAACAATTATTTCCCAGCTTACAATTGAACTACGAGTATGGAATGCCTGGTCACTTCACTGATCAATGCCCTAATTATGATGGCCCAAAGCAAATTACTCGGTTTGTTGTTTAAGTTTTGAAAGAGGTCATAGTATATTTTTTTTAGCATGACTCAATGGGCAAACGGAGACGTCAATAATTGTCCTTCAAAAATAGTTCGCCATGGAATATGTCTTATTGGAATTGAGCAGCTTGAAGAGTTATCAAAAATACCTCACATAATGGTTAACAAGGTCTTTAGTCTTTTTTAAATATTGCCAGTTAACAAAGTGAAAATTTTCAGATGATTCCGTCCTTTGACTACTCAGTCATTGAATGTACCGCCGAACTTTTATACAATCGAACTTTTTTGGGACAGAAAGATCACCAGTTAGATGAGAAATTCTACGAAGAGTTGTTGCATGTGACATACTATAAACATCATAATGATCCAGGATACCAACTTAACTGTACAACACCGAATACGCTGGAAAACTATCTCAGGATACGAAATATCTCTTTAGGACCACTTGTTCGTTCAGATTAATAAATTAATAAACATTTCGGGTATGAAAAAGTTTTACTTTTCAAAAGAAGAGCCGACAAAATTGTGTCAAATTAATATCCGCTTGATGCAACTGCACTTTGAGATTCTCCTGCATTGTCCACTGTAACAGCTGGAGCTTCGGAAACATCAACTACTACTTGAGCTCCACCACCAACTGGCGCAGATGCTTCATCTCCGTAACTGTTCTGTGTCGCTCGTTTCTTACGGTAACCAGAACTTTCCACTCCAACCTGAGCACCAGCTCCTTCTGGTGCAACGGTGTCAGCGGATTCCTAAAAATATTCAAGGATTGGATGTTTAATAAAACATTGGAATGTTTTTTAAATACCTCAGCCATCGGAGCAACACTTGCACCTCCTCCAGCTGGTGTCACAGCTTCATCCTCATAGGTTCCACGTCGTTTTCTAATCAATCCTGCAGTCACCAAACCAATGAGAATAGAAGATACAAGGAAGAATTTCAGAGACATTTTCAATACGAATTGCTTGAATTGTTTCAATACCATCATTGTTTTTATACCCCCTAACCTCAATTGTTTGTTTACGAATTCAATTTTCCCATTTTCCCTTTTCCTGTTCTGAAGTAGAAGTTCTTAGCAAAACAAGCAACCAATTAGTAGAATATAAGTATTGAGAAAGTTGATGTTTTGATGTTGGTCATCTCGAAACACATTCCTACTGCGAAAATTAGGTCATTCAGAACATTTAATGTTTGTTGGAACATGAACTTTTGACGCAAACCGAAGTAATGGGCCACCAGAACGTGGTCAGCTATTATTTTCGAATCGCCAGACCCTCAAAATGCGGTTCTGCAACACACAATTTGTATCAATCGAGAGATCGGACGTGGCAATTGTGTCAAAAGATGGACATCGTTTCGAAGTGAAACTTGCTGAATCTGAGATTGCAAGAGAATTGAATTGTCTCGGAGCAGTCAGTCCACGAGCACTACAGAAAAATATTTTGGTACCTTTCTCGACTAATACGGTAGCTTCAGAAACATCTCGATGAGGAACATGTTCTACTCATTTTCTAGGTTGAATACTTACTCGGATTGAACAATGTTTCTGATTGTATCGAAGAAAAAAGTTGGTTTGGTCTTGAAAAGGCATTGGAAGAGATTGCTGGATTCGGAAGTCAACCGAATTATCCTAACATTCTAACAATCAAAAACGCAATATGTGATCATATGCTGTCTACATTATCAGATCGCAACTGTTTTCTTCTTCACAAAAAATTACGTCAATTTGATTGCCACATTCATGCGAACAAAACTGTTGAGTACATTCTCTACAACTTGGTAGGATTCGACCTTTTTTAATTACAACAAAAAATTTTTTAAACTTTTTTAGGTCAGAATGGTAACTGTCGATAAGATTGTTGATGTAGAATTCTTCCGTTTACCAGTGGAAGAACTAGCTGAACTTTTGAACAACGATGAGATCAACATAGATAGAGAAGTGAAAATTGTGGAGGTTATTGGGAAATGGATAGCTGCGGACTTCGTAAATCGCGACAAGTTTCGTCCGATGCTGATGCATACTGTCCGATTGATGGCTTTGGATGAAGAGGTTCTGTCGCTGACATCTTTCAAACCCAATTTTAAGTTCTGCAGGCTGCAAAGCAACTATCTGAATATCGTCTCTCCATGCAACAACCTCGTAAAACTCGTGATATTCTGTTAGCCGTTGGAGGATGGCTCCATAGGCAAGCATGTGATAGAATCGATTGGTTTGACCCGGAAGCTAGAGAATGGAAAGTGTCTCAACAACGATTGCCGATGCCTCTTGCTTATCATGGAGCTGCAATTCTCGGTGACGAGCTCTACGTCTTCGGAGGATCAAACGGAACGCGTACTCGATGTGAAACCTGGAAGATGTCAACGAAGACGTGGCAGTGGGAGAAGTGTGATAATATGCTGGAACCGAGAAACTACATTACGAATAGTTCAGTGGTGTACGATGGAAAGATTTATGTATTCGGTGGACAGAACTGGAGAGAAATTACACGGGCTTCATTGAGAAGTAAAACTGGAGAGATGTATGATCCGAAAACCAACAAGTGGACTGCAACTGGAAACCTTCATGATATGCGTTCGGATTGTGCAGCCGCTGTATTTGATAATCAAATCTATGTTTCTGGAGGATTCAACGGTGACAATATTCTTGCATCCGTGGAAGTTTACAATCCAATCGCAACTTTTTCTCTCGATACATAGACCTACCTTATCCAATTACTGGTCACTGTCTAGTCACTCATCAAGAACGTTTATTCATCGTCGGAGGATTCAATGGAATGGAACGAATGAATAAGATTTGGATGTGGCATCGGAATGGAGAATGGCAGGAGCTTCCTGAGAGACTAGTTCTTGGAAGATCAACAAGTGCCGCTGTTTCTTACAAAGGATGGTTGTTCTCGATTGCGGGCTACACCGAAAGAGTCGAGGCTACCTGTGAAATGTAAAATATGTCCATAGGAAACCAATATTTTATGTAATCGTTTTCAGAATGCTTCCTACTCCAGATGCGGCTCGCTTCGGTTCGATTCCTCCGCTTCCAAAAGCTAAAAGTGCTCTGAAAGTTCTACAAGCATCAAATTGGAGAAGTCATTTAGAAAATAGAGGAATCGATGATGTGAACTATGCAATATCTGATTCGGATTCGGAATATGATGGTGCATCGAATTCTTTCATGTCTCCATCTTCTGCGAACATTTGAGAACTTCATGATGATTACAATTTCCTTTAAAAATAAATGTAAAGATGGTTCTGTGTTCTAAATGCAATGTTTCATTTTTCTAATAAAACAGAAGAATTTAGCGGGAACTACAGGGAAAATGACAACAAGGGCAATGTGTTAAGAGAGTCTTCGTCACACGAGGTCGATATGTTGGACGAGAATACGGTTTCACGGATACATGAGCCATATCAACTTGAGTTGGTTCGATATGGGGAATCTTGGTAATGAATGATGCCTTATCCTTCTTAGTGACCACACCGGAGAGTTCGAACGGCGATACCGTAATCTTTGGGGTCCTCTAATAGAAGGCCACCCAAACAGTCATCTTTGAACACATATATCTCGTTTCCTGTAATAGATATCAAAAAGTGGTCAACTGACAAAATGTTGATCACAATGCAAAAAATTGTTTGTCACTTGACAAGTTTTTTATATCTTCTACAGGGAGCAAGATATATGAGCTGAAAGTCGATGGTATGGGTGGCCTTCTATTGTTTACGTTAATCTAAAGTTTCTTGACGGACCTCTTCTTTTGGTGTTAGACCACTTCTGGGGGGTTTTTTAGTTACATCCAAATTTAAAGACTTTTTAATGTAATGAATGTAAGGAGATAATGGTCCCCATGGATTGATAGTGAATGGTTTGGCATGTTTGTAAAAAGTTGGCTGAAATTTTTCTATTGTAATTTTTTCACCAATTCCTGAATACCTGTTTTGTACCTGGGCGGTACGGACTTTTTTCGGAATGCTGGACTTTGACAAGAGATTCACCAACTGGTGGTGGTTTCGTTCCAAACGAATGGAATGGTCCACGGTGACGAGTGAATCGAACAATTTGTGGTGGTCCGGTAATGGAGGATTCCAGTACCGAAACCCCGAAAATTGCTAACAGAATGAACAGTTTCATGTTGTGAAGCACAGATTCCGTATGAGGGTTATTTATACTGATTTTTTATCTGTTGATAGGTATGTTTGTTGATCTTTCAGTTGGAAATTCTTCCGCTTGATTGAAAAATTGAAAACAAAATAAAATTGGGGCTCCGCAGGTATCTTGATTCTTGATTATCAATGTTTCAACATATAACCCGTTTGTTTTAAACAGGAACGGATGTTTCATTTTTGATTAGGTAAACATGATAACGACGGAAAAAAACAAAGTCAAAACACACAAAATAACGCAAAAAGGTTAGTATAAAAAGTGAGCTAGAACACCAAACGATCATCATCGCCGAGATGAACAGTCTTTTACTTCTTCTTGTTTTTGCAATCGCTGGAGCTGCTGGGCAGTATGGACAGCTTAACAAGAATCCACCAACTTTTGCACCCGGAGCATTCACCTACAAACTCCCGCCATTGAACCAGAGAACGTTTGCTCCGTGGGATTTGGCTGAAACCTCCAGAAGACCGCATCCTCCTCATCACCATTCTCATGGAACCCCTGCCCCACAGGTTTCAAACTCCCTTTTTTTTGTCATTCTACAATTTTTTCCAGGAGTCTTCCTCTTCAAAGCATCTTGAGCTCTTCCATATCACTGATTCTCCACAGGTAAATAATCCAATTGTTGGACTAAAAAATATAACGTTTTCCAGGCTCTTATCAAGAAGTTCCCACCAGTCAATACAAGAGGAACCTACCGACCGCCATCAGAGTTAATTGGACACTTCCCGACGTCTTCGGCCCCACACTTCACCAAGGTTTGTTTCTTGGTTTTTGAAAATTAAGAAGTTCAATACTTTCCAGAAATCTCAAAACGAGCTCTACGATCCTATCACATGGAAGCCAATTCGAATCACTTGGAAACCCGTCGACCTCGCTGCTTCGAAAAAGCCACGTTTTACCCATCCACCAAAGGAGGAATTGGGAAAACATCATACATTCGCACCAGGAGTATTCACTGATAAGTTCACTCTTCCTCCAATTGGCAAGAAGACGTTTGCGCTCAAAGAAGAAGTTCGTTTAATGTACATTTTTACATCCAAAGGTATTATTTTTCAGCTATCCCATCACGGAGAAGTCACCAAGGTTACTGTTGCTCCGACTGCAGATGGGCTCACCAAGAAGGATAAAGGATCTTTCATCACTGAAAACCCGAACTTCACTCATCAGCCCTAATCATTTTTTTTTCTTCTGGAATCTTGAATCCGAACAATCCTCATTATATAAAAAGTTGATTTTCTGTTGAATCAGTAAATTTATTATATATGTCAGAGATGGTTGGAATTCTTGATAAGAACATGCTGATTTCAGTGCTAACCAGAGATGTCCGGAATGCATTTTTTGAGAAACGGAATCCGGAACAAAATAATTTCCTCGGAATCCGGAATCCGGACAAATGAAAATTTTCTGGAATCCGGAATACGGAATCTGGAATGAAAAAAAACCCGGAACCCGGAATGTTAAGTTCTCCAAATGGAAAGAAAATATTTTTAACCAGTAAGCTGGTGCGCCTTCGGCGCGATTCAATCTATTTTTTTCAAATGTTAGTCGCTTCGTTTCTCACTTTTTCTAAATAAAAGGGTCACGTAAATATATATGTATTTTTCAATTTTTTCAAAAGTCCACCGACGGACCCGAGGACGGACAGACGCCTCTAGCGTTTTATTAATAAGGAAGATTTCTATTGTTGCATTTTTAAACGCGGGAGTTCAAAGAAGCCAGAGAATTCTTGAAAATTAACAAATATGCTGAAAATCCAGAATAAAAGTTTTTCTCGAAATCCGGAGTCCGGAAAAATGAAAAGCACGTAATCCGGAATCCGGACATCTCTGATGCTAACAATTTTTCGTCATGAGCTCTGAAAATGATTTACTTTCGTTATTTCGGAGTTTTTTTTTTGAAATTGATGAGTTTTTAAAAAATGCCAGGCCCTTACAAATGTCCACCTGGAATGAAAGATTTTCTGATGAATCAGTAAATTTATTTTATCTGTTAAAAAAAGGCTATTCTGAAGCAAAATGTGAAAGTTGGGATCACAAGTTTAACAGGAATTGATGAAAAAAAAGATGAAACAATAGGAAGGGAAACGTCAACAAGTGTTTTGAGGATCTGTGTGAATGGATGGGATCTATCGGGACGAAAACTCAAATGAGAAGGAATTAATTTAATGCAAATATCCACTGGTCTCTGTGAGCATTTTCTCTGATCGCTTGGTATCGAAAAACAGACGGTATGCTTGGCTGATATGATCAGTTGTGACACGTTCGCACTTGTTTCGGATACGAATCACTTCGGCGGCTGCGATAAGATGAATACAGTAACGAAGAGATGTTGCTGATTGGAGTCTCACAAGAAGATCGAGTGCTGTTGGTTCCAAGCTGAAAAATAATTTCAATTAGAACGTGTTTCATATGAAAATGTAATGTCTCACCTGACACCTTCTTCGTCACAACGGAGAGAAAGAATCTTGGCAGTGTCATCGACAGTGTATGGAGTAGCGTGGATGATAAGCATACGATCGAGGAAGTCAGATGGAATACCGTGCGCTGATTCGACGTCGGTTCCACGCACTTTCTCGATCAATCTGTTAGTGGCCATGATAATCAGGGGACTGAGCTCTCCTTCAATGGCTCTGTTGAGGAATGAGAAGCATTCAATATCCAACATATGGGCTTCATCAATAAACAGAACGCCTGGAACGAACTTTGCCTTTCCTTCTTCTCTCCATTCCAAAACCTTCTTGTTGATCTGATCTCTAACTTCTGCCTTGATCTCTCCGGTATCTCCAGAGAAGAGTGCCACGTATCCCTGTGTTCGAGAGTTGATGACATCGATATCGTGAAGGCAGACGGTGTGGACTGTCTCACGTCGCTTCTGAATTTCTCCATCTGGGCACTGAACGAGTTTCACTTTTGGACCCATTGCATCGTAGTCGTGAGAACGATTGAAGGAACGACCAAGACGAGTGACACGGCCTGCAATTATAAAAGATAGTTCAAATTTTCTAATTTCAAGCAACTAACCAGACGCCTTATCGACCTGAATCACGTCTCCTGGCATAATTCTCTCTTTGAGACATGCATCCACCATTTTCGATCCCAAATCATAAATCGTCTCCATGTCAGTGGTACGCATTGTGAGCTTTCCGACCTTCGGACCAACTCCATTCGCAGGTCTATCAACATCCAATGAAATGACTTCCCCTTCCAAAACTTCCGTTTCTTCTTTGATTTGGAGGCCAAGAGCCCGTCGGAAGGCTTGTGTAAGTGCTTCAGTTTTGTTGATTTCGGTTGAATAAATCTATAAATTGATTTTGAAATACTCTAGTGGAAACAGTTGGACGGTCTCACCTCAGAAGCAACGATGCTCACAAATGGAGTGTCGATTCCCAACTCCTTCGAAATGGCGATAGCAAGAGCTGTTTTTCCTGCTCCAGGTTCTCCGGTGACTAGCAATGCGCGTCCAGCAATTTTTCCTTCCTAAAGACGGAATTCTATAATTCAAAAAAATGATAAATACTCACCTGAATCATTTTGACAATGAGCCCAGCAGCTTGACGAGCAGCAACCTGTCCGACCATTCCTCCTGACACATATTCGGCCTCCAAACGATGATTTAAACCGAGACCCGTGATGTGTGAGTGGACAGAAGTACGTTCAACCTAAAACTGGGTTGTTTTTATTCTTTAAACTGAATCTTGTCCATAAAAATGTTTTTAAGCCCCTACAACTGAGAAAAACACAAAAGCCTTACTTTGACAATATCCTTCACATTGATACCGTCTAATGTTGCCATTTTTGTGCTGAAAATTGAAGAATTTGGGTTAATATTCAAAAAGAAGAGCGAAATTAAAGTCAAAATTCGAAAGTCGCGCGCAAGATGTGCGCCAAGTTCCGAGAAGAGCGTCAGTTAATCAGATGCACGAGAATCACGCCTTTCCTTCGTCTCTCAATTTCAAACACTGTCTAGCTCAAAAGTGAAAATATTTATTTTTCAGTTTCCTTTTCCTGTTCCAGAAAGAACTTTGTAATTGCATTGTAACATCCGTTTCTTTTAAAAAAATTAATATTTTATTCATCAACAAACTACAACTAATTGAGAAATGCAGGAAGACAGTGGCCATTTAATGCAACAATGGGATGGAAATGAAAATGCTGGGGAAGATCAACGGGGTTTATAGGGGCCGCGAATGCGAATGAATGAATGAGGTGACAAAAGGGGAAAAGATATCATTAAAAACTTCAACAAAAATCAACAAGTTTGTTCTTCGCCATTGAAATGAGTGTCACTGGCTAGTAGAGACGCTTTTCGAACCTGAAATTTTCCGTTTAGAAAAAGAAGTTTATGCAGTAAGAAATTGAGAAAATGGACAGGTTTTTCACAGGTAGAAGTGTGCTGATCGTATTAAGTGCATCACAAGAAAGATAACTATTCAGTGGAGATAATTGGATTACACTGGTTCGGTAATCAATCAGACCCGGTTTCATTCTTCTAAAGATTTTCTCCGGGGCACATCACCAACACTTCCACTTTTTGAAATACCTGTCATATTCATCATCATTGGCCCAACTCGCCACGTTGACTGTTCTATTCTGAATCTCGTTTTTTACCGTATACAGTTTTCAGATATCAGTAAATATCAATTTCTCTAACTGTCATTCAGACGCAACTGACTTAGTGATTGGCCTATTCTGGACGTCATTTTTTGAACAGTTTCTAAAATGCGTCAAACTCACGAATGCAACGAGTGAACACCTCCTTCCAACTGAGCATTTGTAGAGCGTCTCTCGAATTTGACGATTCCTCCGTCGACTTTCTCACGAAACTCGCGAAGTGAACGTACTCCAATGTCTTGCATTCCATGTTGAACACCTCGAACTAAATATGGAATGAACTTGTGACATGATCCGCGATCCTTCATAGTGGCAGACACTCCTTGAGCAACTTTAATCTGATCAGACTCACTGAAATATTTACATGAAGATATTTGTAAAACAAATAACAGCATACGCAGTAAAGTAGCGATCCTGGCTGGAAGCGTGAGCCTCCATCGCGTCCAAAGATCCCATTCCTCTGTACTTCTTCACTCTAACACCTCCAGGCCCCCAGAAGTACTCTCCTGGTGCTTCAGTGGTAGCAGCAAGAAGACCACCCATCATCACAGCTGATGCTCCCAGAGAGATAGCCTTGGTGATATAGCCAACATCACGAATTCCTCCGTCCGCAACGACTGGGATCCCACGCTGGTTAGCGTAGCGAGCCACGTCGTAGACAGCTGTTCCCTGAGCACGTCCCACAGCCATAACTGAAATTTCGAAGTTGTTTAAAAAACTTGAGGGACACATTTTCTTACCATCTTGAGTAATGCAAATCGATCCACTTCCCATTCCAATACGGAGACCATCGGCTCCCTGATCAATGAGAAGTTTCGCTTGTGCACGAGTGACAACATTTCCAGCGATTACTTGAACATGTGGATGCTTCTCCTTGATGTATCGAAGCATCGATATTTGATAGGTGGAGGATCCGTTTGAAGAGTCGATAATGAGAACATCAGCTCCAGCCTCAACGATACAATCAACTGTGTACTGGGATTCTCCACGTGTGTTCACTGCTGCTCCACAAAGCAATTGACCTTTGGAGTCATAGGAAGCCATTGGATAGTCACGAGCCTACAAATGGGATTGTCAGCTGTCTGAGTTCTAAGTAGATAACTCACCTTCAACAGATCGGATCTGCAAAGAAGAGCGCACAACTCTCCCTTATCGTTGACAATTGGCAATTTTCCAAGTCTATGCTCCTTCAACTTCTTCTGTGAAAGTTCCGGAGCATCGTTAATGTGTCCCAAATGGAGCTGATCAACTGCGACCATAATCTAAAATTGGGTTGATAGGAAAGAAGATAGAATGTCATTGGATATGACAGAAAGCCTATTGTATCATGGGAACCAAGTTTTTGTCTTTCAATCTGGACGGGAGATGGAATAGGACAAAACGGACTATAGGTTAGGCAAAAGAAAATGAAATTGAAAAACGACGTTAGATAGGTTATAGGGTAAGAAAGTCTTACCTTGGTGATGGGAGTAGTCGGTGTCACATCGTTCGTCTGAATTCACACAATTAGGGTGGAAAAAGCACACTGATTAATAATTTGTTTGTTTTTGGGCATAATTAGAGGTAAAATTGATGGGGAGAACTTTGTCAAAAAATTGCAGAAGAGAACCATGCATAGATGTGAGGGCAATCCACGATCGACAAAAAATTAGAACTTTTTATCAAATTGATGTAAAAACAATCCTGAAAATCAACTTACATCGGATATTGGGGTACCTTTCTGCCCAGCAACATCCATAGTGATAAAGTCGAAATCGCGAGAAGTGACCATTCCTAAAAAATCAATTTGAAAATTATGTTTACTAGTCAGAAATCACCAATGAGCTTGCTTCCCACACGTCCATCTTCAGTGACCGGTGCTCCAGTGTAACCGTACTTTTTCTTGATTTGAATCATGTCAAATGCAGTGGAGTCACGACTGAGACAATGTGGTTGCATGACGTATCCTTGCTTGAAACGTTTCACTTTCAAAACTTCAGCGGCTTGATCTTCTGGCTTTGGAAAGTTTCCATGGATGATTCCAATACCTCCGTAGAGCTGAAAAAGGTCCTATTTGGAACGAGGACTGTAACCGATCATATAAACTAACAGCCATCACAATGGCCATTCCACTTTCAGTCACGGTGTCCATTGGGGAAGAAACGAGAGGAGCCTTGATCTTCAAATCCTTTGTGATGTTAGTTTCCAAGCAAACATCATGGACTCCAAAGTTGATGAACCCGGGAAGAATGTTGAAATCACTGAAAGAATTCAAAGTAAACCATTAAAAGTTCTCAAGTCAACCATACTTATATGTCAAACCAGCTTTATGAGCCATCATCTCGTGAACAGTCTCTCCATCGGTTAGAGAGTTGTCGAGTTCCAAGCTATTGAATTCTTCTGGTCGAACCATTTTGATCTGTAAATCCGATAGGACTGGTATAGTGACAAAATGCGAGAGAAGACAAGAATTGAATGAATCAAGGGAAGGGAGAGAAAACAAGCCGATGTGTTTGTTTGATCAAAGAGGAGAAAGATACGAAAAAATGTGTTTGGCTTCTTTTTTCAAGCAATAAATCCTCTCAAAAAGAGCTTATTTCTTCGTTTCCATGGAAGCTCTTGAGACGAGGTCCAATACGAGATGCACGCACATTGAATAAGTCTCTGTGCATCTTGGAATCGAATGTTCTTTTTTAGAGCATATTTTATTAATGTAAAACCTTCTAAAAGTGTTAAAAGACAGAAACGCATATAATACCCTTCAATGTTTTGCTGATGACTGCTGACTGCGGAGAGTGCAGAGAAGTAAGCGTATATGAGAATTTACAACGAGCAAATCAATGGTTTTGAGTGTTGCAAATGTGTTTCTACGCGCGATGACTTTTATACTGGAGGCGGAGGAAAAATGCACTTAGTCTATGATTGAAAAGTCTGAAAATCCAGTGGGCGGCGGCGACTTGAAAGAGTTCGAAAAGTTTTTAGAAAGCCAAGAATGCATTTAGCGCAATTCGGGGACAAAGTATTTCGCGAGATTGTACATACCGCGGTGGTAGATGTATGAACATAAATTTATTAGGGAACTAAACAATTTATGAACTTTGAAGATCCCAGAAAAAATACATTAAAACATTCGTTGAAACCCATAAAAAGGTGGTGAACGGAGAAGATTATTACAACTTTGGGAGAGGAGAGACAAGAGAAATCACATATTCAATAAATAACTTTCCTTTTACAGCCTAGTTTCAACAATAAATTAATCTGTAGAAAGATATGATTATAATGAGGCAAGAACATTGTCCGCACGGCTCCTGGCATCTTTGACCTTGTTGGCAAATTGTTGTTCCTCTGATCCGGCAGTCTTTGTAGTACTCTTTTCCACGGCCTTGAGGTAGCTGTCCACCGCTTCGAAAGTAGCCTTGTCGTACTTGAGAAGCTCCGATGCTTTTTCAGCGGCAGCATTTCCGGCGCCTGTTCTCAATTCAGCAATCTTCTCAGTAAGCTTGGCATTCGCCTCGTTCCTGGCTTCATTGAATTCTTTTTTGGCTTCATGAAGATCAGATTCATTTTTTGTTGACTTGTACTGTTGAGCGGCGTCAATCAGAGAATCATAAGCAGCTTGTTTAGAATCAACAGACTTCGACAACTTCTCGATACTGAGCTGAGAACGCTCTTCGGCATCTTTATTTGGGTCCTGAAAAATGTTGTTCATTATATCAGAGTTGATTCATATTTCCTGAAATTTAAGCCAAGAGACGAAAAACTAACCGAAGAAATCGTAAAATCGAATCTTGCGTAGATGATAATAACGAAGAACAACGAGAAGAAGAAGGCCGCGGCAAGAAGTGGTTCGCGAAGCATGTCCATGTAATTGAACTCGTATGTAACAGTGAAAAACTGACTGTGGTCGGAAACCACATTGCTCTTTTCCAGAACAACGACTAGACGACCAGTTGTGTCCAAGTATGTTGGCTTAAGTTCGTCAGGACGTCTATCAACAACATATGGGGTGGTGACTTTGACGCGTCTGAAAAACAATCAATTGAAAACTTTGGAGAACAGTTTCTTCAATTTTCGGAAAAAACAGGGTTGTTGTCAATATAATATTTTGATTACGAATATGTTTAGGTGACTTACCTGACATACTCTGGAAGAAGCACCTTTGTACGCAGCTTCTCAACAACCACATCGCCGAAGACGTGATCGAACAATTTAGTCTTCAAAGCATATTGGTTTCCTTTGGTGTACAGATATTCTTCAGATGGCAAGTTATATCCAATGATGTACGATGTCTTCCATCCACCGAAAAGTGGGAATCGTGGACGAATCTCCACATCAACACTATCAGCACGAATTCTAACAGCTGAAGTAGAAATATTTCCAATTTCGTCACGATAGTAAATATCTTTCGCTTGGGCTGGGAGAACAGTGGTGAAGGATTGGAATGCAGGTTGACGACGTCCTCGGCGGTCCATTTGATAATCAATTCTGGAGAAAGGTCCGTCCAGTGCTGCTCCTTTGTGAACCAATTCGATATATTCCTCAACAGCGATGTTTCCCCAGTGAGAAACCTCGATGAATCTCTCAACGACTGTAGCAACTACGAACGGAGAGTTGTTTTCGTAATGCACTTTGATTGGCTTGCTCTCAAAGGCAGGAATATTGGCATAAGGTCCGTACACAACGCGTTCCGTTTCTTGTTTTGAAGGAGCCACAGTTGTAGCAGAAAGAAGCTTTCCTCCTTGAGTGGTGCGGACGGTTGTTTTTTGTGTGACAGTTTCATAACGAGATGGAACGTAGGCAGTCGTATGAAGCAGAACAAATTGGCTATCAGCCTGTGCGATTTTTGCTGGAAGTGGTTCAAGAACTTGGGTCACACGAAGATTAACTCGAAGAGCAATTTTATCTCCCTTGGCAACTGGAGTGCGGAGATCGACTTCATAGAAGGTCAACTCTTTTTCAACTGGTTTCTCAGAAATCTTCAGTTTTCCTTTAGCTCCATCGATTCCGGCGGTGATGTGAGAAAGTCCAGTAGCTTCTTCTTTTGAAAGAGCAATCTGAAAAAAACAATAGGAGTTAAATCGAAAATTGCGTACTCACCAAAACTTTCGATTGTGGTCCAGTGCCTGTGTTTTCAAACGAATACAACGTCGAGATCTTGACAATTTGCGATGTTGCATCGATGGTTCGGTCAACGTTAACGGCTTTCCATGCATCTTGTGCAAATACCGCCCCCAGGAGAGCGATGGCTAACAGCAATCGCATCTGAAAAATGTGAATAAAAGATTTTCAAGGGTTTCAAGACACAAAATGGAGATACTTTCCGGATGGAAACAATTGAAAGGATGAAAGTAACCGAAAAAAAAGAATGTTTTACTGGTAAGTTGACGACCCTAATTTGGAGCTGAGCACAATGGAATCTTGCCATTTTGATGTACAAACTTGTCTATTTTATTTATTTCGGCAAATTAGTTTCTGAAACCATCTCAATTTGTATACTTCCAGCAAAAACAAGCGACAATCGTGGTTAACTCATCCACGTATTTCAAATCGGAGCCATTCGTTGCGAGACCCGCGGGCTGTCATGATGACTGCGCCTTTAAACGAGGGCGTTCAAATAATCATTTTTTGAAGAGAACTGCCGCTTGTTTTGCTTGTTTTTCAAAAATTTCAAAAATTCTCTTTGTTAATAGCATTAATTGAATAATAACGCTATAAAAATACTTTGTTAACTATGGAAACAGCTACCTTACTATGCTTTATGAGTTCGGTCTTCCTTTCACCGTTAATTTTCTGTTTTTAAGATACCAATATGGTTGCGACTACTCAACAGAAGCCTGAGGCTGAAAAAAAGAAGGTGGATGACAAAAAAGGAAAACCAGAACCGAAAAAGGAGGAGATGGTAAGTATTTAGTGACAATGAGAATAAAGTACCCCAGAAAAACATCATTCGCAAACGTATTCTTGAACTTTGCAGACCGAGGAAGACCAAAAGCTTGAAGAAGATCTCAATCTTCTTGTCCAACGTCTTTCGGAGCCTGATACCTCGTTATACAAGCCATCACTTGAAACAATGCGATCCCTGATCCGTGCTTCTACAACTTCCATGACTTCCGTGCCAAAACCACTCAAGTTCATGCGCCCCCATTACAATAAAATGAAGGAGATCTACACTTCGATTGCTGCTCCAGAAGTGAAGAAGCTGTGTGCCGATATTATTTCAGTGCTTGCTATGACTTCCGATGAACGCACTGATACTATCAATTATCGCATCCTTGGATCACACGAGCCTATCGGAGATTGGGGACATGAATATGTGCGCCATTTGGCTATGGAGATGTCAGAAGAGTGGAAGAAAGAAGGTACTTCGGATGCAAGAAAGGCAGAACTTCTACAGCTTACCCAAGACATTGTGAGCCACCACATGAAGCACAACGCTGAAGTCGAAGCATGTGACTTGCTCATTGAAATTGAACGTCTTGATTTGCTCGTCACCTATGTGCAAGAAGTAGATCATCAAAGAGTTTGTCTCTACATTCTGTCTTGTGCTCCATTGACCCCTGATCCGGATAACATCATCTTGATCCGCACTGCTCTTCAACTTTACCTGAAATTTAATCGCTATCTGGAAGCAGTCCGTTGTGCTATTATGGTCAACGATGTTCCAAAAGTTCATGAAATTTTCGCCAAGGCAACTGACCCGTAAGTAATCTTTGCATGGTTTTTAAATTTTGCACTTCTATGAATAATTATTCAGACTTCTCCGAAAACAAATGGCTATTCTTCTCGGACGGCATCAAATTTTCCTCGATTATGAAGGGGCTGAAGATTCAGATGCTCTTTCTGAACTCAACTCTAATGCCCATCTTTATGAATATTTCCACTCGCTAGCTCGTGAGCTCGACATCATGGAGCCAAAAACACCTGAAGGGATCTATAAGTCGCATTTGGAACACTCTCGCCCATTTGGAAACTCTTCGCAGCCAGATTCTACCCGCATGAATCTTGCTGCCGCTCTTGTGAACGGTTTCGTCAATTGCGGTTTTGGAGTGGATAAAATGATGGCTGAGACTGAAGAAGCTTCAAGATGGTTCTACAAAAATAAGGAATACGGCATGCTTACTGCTGCGGCTTCTCAAGGACTCATTTGGAGATGGGACATTGACACTGGTTTGGCACAGTGTGATAGATTTCTGTACATCAATGACGACTACATAAAGGCTGGAACTCTGTTAGCCATTGGAATCATCTCGTCTGGAATCCAAGACGCTTGTGATCCAGCTTCGGCTCTTCTTCTCGATCATGTCCAATCCGAACGGCCAATTATGAGAGTTGGATCTATTCTCGGTCTGGGCTTGGCATATGCTAATTCGAAGAGAGAAACAGTTACCAAAAACGAGGAGAGAGGAGTTATTTTCGAACTCAAGAAAGTTCTCTCTGATCAAAAGCCGTCCGCCACTCCAGAAGTGAAAGGCTTGGCTGGTCTTTCTTTGGGACTTATTCTCGTCGGAACTGCTGATGCTGAAGCGGCAATGGAGATGCTTCAAGCATTGATGGACAAAAGTGAAACGGAATTGACTGATCCTAATATGCGGTTCCTGGCTTTGGGTATCGCATTGATTTTCCTTCAAACTCAAGATAAGAGTGATGTCTTCGTGGAAAGTCTTCGTTCATTACCAGACCCATTCGGAGCTATGGTAAGTGTGCTGAAACGAATATTTGAAACATTTTACTCGTTCAGGTTTCTACACTCGTTGAAGTATGCGCCTATGCCGGAACTGGAAACGTGCTCAAAATTCAGAAATTACTTCATCTATGCTCCGAGCACTACGAAACTCCAGTGGCCGAAAAGAAAACCACTTCTACTCGTGCGGGACGAGGCAATCCATCCGCTACTCCAGCTCGTGCAGCCGCCCCAGGTGCAGCTGCTGGCACTGCCACACCAGCACCAACGGGAACACCAGCAGTCGTTCCTGGTGCTCCAAGACGAGATGGAGCAGCTCCATCTGCCACCCCAGCCGCTCCAGGATCTGCAGATGCCTCCGCAACTGATGCTACTCCGGCCCCTCCAGCTAAGCCGGATCTCTCTTCCCAACAAGCAATCGCAGTTCTTGGAATCGGACTCATCGCCATGGGTGATGATATTGGTTCTCAGATGGCACTTCGCATGTTCGGGCATCTTATCAGATATGGAGAACCAGTCATTCGTCGTGCAGTTCCACTTGCTTTGTCGCTTCTTTCTGTGTCCAACCCACAGCTCAACATTTTGGAAACACTTTCGAAGTTCTCTCACGATTCCGACCCAGACACTGCTCACAATGCCATTTTCGCTATGGGACTTGTTGGAGCAGGAACGAATAACGCTCGTCTCGTTGCGATGCTTCGCAATTTGGCTTCATATCATTACAAAGATCAAGTTTCTCTTATGTTGGTCAGAATTGCCCAAGGTCTTACCCATCTTGGTAAAGGAACTATGACCCTCAATCCATGGCACTCCGATCGGCAACTGTTGTCTCCAAGTGCGCTCGCCTCATTGCTCTCGATTTGTTATTGCTTCTTGGACGCTAACAATACTGTAAGAGTTCTATCGTCTGATTTCGTCCGTAAATTCTCAATTTTAGGTCTTGAATAGTCGACAACATTACTTGCTCTACACATTGGTTCTCGCCATGCAACCGAGAATGTTGACGACTTTGATTGAAGACGAAATGAAGCCGGGAAGCTTGAAACAGGTTAGATCGTGAGGACTGAGAATTTCAAAAATAATTGTAACGATTTCAGCTGAACGTCTCCGTAAGAGTTGGACAAGCTGTCGACGTTGTTGCACAAGCTGGAAAGCCGAAGACTATTACCGGATTCCAAACGCATACCACTCCGGTTCTTCTGGCTCATGGAGAGCGTGCAGAATTGGCGAATGATGAATGTAAGTTCAAGTTTAAAAAACATAAGCTAGACGAAATTTTGCTTTCAGACATTCCTGTCACTCCACATCTCGAAGGATTAGTTATTCTGAAGAAGAACCCTGAGTACCAGCCAGTGGTTGTATCGTCGAAAAAGTAGTTTCAAACTGTATGATCTAATTTATTTCCCCGTTCTCTGGCTTTCCTCCGAACCTTAAAAAATCTGACCCGTTTTATTGTGCACAATTCGATTGAACTTTCTCGAAAAAGCTCTGTCAGTTTCTCCCTGCTCCCCGATTTTTCTTATAATTTATTCACCTCGTCCCCTCATTCTTTTTTCAAGAAAACGTGTACACTGTTTGAATGCGAGAGATGCGGTAATCAAGTAAATGTTACCTTGAAATTTGAGTTCACAAACTACAGTGCGTTCAATAATTATAGGACCCCCTCGATTTTGAGAGTTCTGAAATAACTGAAAATGATATCGAAATTCTGTGAACGCCATTCGATTCAGAATACAAAATAACCCCCAGGTACAAATTTTGATGTCCCTGCCTCTTTTTACATTCCCGTACCAACAAAAAGGCCCTCCCGCAGGCGTTCAATAATTATAGGACCCCCAGAAAAATGAAAAATCGCAAGTTTTTTCGGGACCAAAATTGGACCTTTTTTAGTTGGAAATCATTAAAATAGTTTCAAAATAGCCTATTTTGACAGTTTACACAAAAATTGATTCCTCTATTCAAGTTTTAGAAAAAAATATTTTTAGACATTTTCGCCATTTTTTGAGATTTTGGAATAAATCTTGAATAACTTGGCTCATGTGTGAGATTTTGAACTGAAACTGATGGGCATTGCCATTGGGCAATACTTTTGCAGGGATCTGGATTATTTACTCATTGTTTTTATATTGTCGGATTAAAAAAAGTGACACCTGAAAATCTCGGAGACGGTTCTCGTGTCGATTTACAAGGGGGCGGAGCGAAAACGGATACTGTAGATAACAAATTTATTGACACTCCACCGATTCCGAGGAAGGGGTTGTCTCCGAGGAAACGATTCCGAGGAAATCGGGGCGGAGTTTCAATTTTTGCAGTGCCGCA